ATGATGATGACGACCATCATCATGATGATGATGAGGAAGATCCTGATGATGACTGTGATGATAACTATCATCGTAGCATCCCTTGCATCACCAGTGCTCCCTAATGAGAGATGATGATGACCGTGATGACAATGATGATAAGGATGAGGCCTGTGATGAAAACTCTCATCGTAGCATCCTTTGCATTGCCAATGCTGTCTAACGTTACTTTTGAAACGCATATAAGAACAAGAAAGAGATGCTTGATGAGAAGAGTGATGATGATGATGACGACCATCATCATGATAGTGTGATGATAACTATCATCGTAGCATCCTTTGCATCACCAGTGCTGCCTAATAAGAGATGATGATGACAGTGATGAGAATGATGGCAAGGATGAGGACTGTGATGATAATTATCATCGTAGCATCCTCGGCATCACCAGTGCCGGCTAATAAGAGATGATGATGATGATAAGGGTGAGGACTGTGATGATAACTATCATCGTAGCATCCTCTGCATTGCCAATGCTGTCTAACGTTACTTTTGAAATGCATATAAGAACAAGAAAGAGATGATGATGACCGTCAGCATGATGATAATTATCATCACAGTCCTCATCCTTATTATCATTATCATCACGGTCATCATCATCTCTCATTAGGGAGCACTGGTGATGCAAAGGATGCTACGCTGATAGTTATCATCACAGTCCTCATCCTTATCATCATTGTCATCACGGTCATCATCATCTCTTATTTGGCAGCACTGGTGATGCAAAGGATGCTACGATGATAGTTATCATCACAGTCATCAGGATCTTCCTCATCATCATCATGATGATGGTCGTCATCATCATCATCATCATCACTCTTCTCATCATCGAGGCATCCTCTGCATTGCCAGTGCTGTCTAACGTTACTTTTGAAATGCATATAAGAACAAGAAAGAAATGATGATGACCATCAGTCATCATCAGGATCTTCCTCATCATCATCATGATGATGGTCGTCATCATCATCATCACTCTTCTCATCATTATCCTGTGATGATAACTATCATCGTAGCATCCCTTGCATCACCAGTGCTCCCTAATGAGAGATGATGATAAGGATGAGGACTGTGATGATAACAATCATCGTAGCATCCTCGGCATCACCAGTGCTGGCTAATGAGAAATGATGATGACCGTGATGATAATGATGATAAGGATGAGGACTGTGATGATAACTATCATCGTAGCTTCCTCGGCATCACCAGTGCCGGCTAATAAGAGATGATGGTGACCGTGATGATAATGATGATAAGGATGCTGCGGCTAGTAAGAGATGATGATGATGACCATGATGATAATGATGATAAGGATGAGGGCTGTGATGATAACTATCATCGTAGCATCCTCTGCATTGCCAACGCTATCTAACGTTACTTTTGAAATGCATATAAGAACAAGAAAGAGATGATGATGACCATCATGATGATGATGAGAAGAGTGATGATGATGATGACCAGATGCAGCATCGCTCATGATGATCATGATGATCCTGATGATCATCACTACGCATCTCCAGCATCACCAGCAGTTACCGTGATGATATCCTGATGACAATCATCACTATGCATCCCCTGCATGCGCAGCAGTTGTCATATCAATCATGACTAAAATGCATCACTGCATTCCAAGCCGGGTTGAACGGCAAGCTTGAAACGTAGAATGCTGATGATCCGGATGCTGCGGCTAGTAAGAGATGATGATGATGACCATGATGATAATGATGATAAGGATGAGGACTGTGATGATAACTATCATCGTAGCATCCTCTGCATTGCCAATGCATCTAACGTTACTTTTGAAATGCATATAAGAACAAGAAAGAGATGATGATGACCATCATGATGATGATGAGAAGAGTGATGATGATGATCAGATGCAGCATTGCTCATGATGATCATGATGATCCTGATGATTATCACTACGCATCTCCAGCATCACCAGCAGTTACCGTGATGATATCCTGATGGCAATCATCACTATGCATCCCCTGCATGAGCAGCAGCTGTCATAACAATCATGACTAAAATGCATCACTGCATTCCAAGCCGGGTTGAACGGCAAGCTTGAAACGTAGAATGCTGATGACCCGGATGCTGCGAACCCATCACCCAACATCAGTGGTGCTGATAAACATCACGAAGACAAGGACGAATACAAGCCCTTCCCATGCGCCTCCCCTTTGGAGAAAGGGGTCGGCGGATTTCGCAGGACCCTCCCTTTCCCTGGCGAGACGTGTGGTCTTTTTCCGGGCTTGATCCCTTGCAGGCGAGACTTTTTGGTCCTGGAGCTCAACAACAACCTCCGGGCCAAGGAGCGAAGAAGAGCGTTGGCGAGGTTTCCGGCTTCCGACTTCAAGCCCCTTGGCTGCGGCGTCGCCGATGGCTGTGGGTCAAAAATATGGTGACCCCAAAATGGGTTGCCCTGGTAAATGGAAACACGGACTAAAACCTGCGGTCCAATTCCTGGTGGTTTAATTTTGACCCATACCCATGTTGCCTTCTGCAAGAAGCCCCCAAAGACCTGGTGGCCTTTTCAGATTCCGTGGGAACTCACGAAGCACCAGGGGCCTGAAACGTGTTCCCCGGGAGACTTGAGGCTTAGGCATCATGGACTGTGGATGGACGAAATCCCGCAGTTGGAAACCATGGTTGAAACCGCTGTTTGTTGGTATTTACAGGGGAATCATCCCAAACCAGGGCCTCTTAGGTGGAGAGAAACGGATTTCGTCCAGCCACAGTAGTAAGATGTTCGTTGGCCCTTGGGTTTGCTAGAGCCAAACAGCATTTATGACATGTTAGGTGCTTCAGTGGGATCATGTTCCTGTCGTGGCAACTTGCCACAGAGCTGCCGACATCGGCCAATGTGCGGCTTTGGGGGAAGGCAGTGCGGAATATGGACGGATTGTGGGACTGAAAAGAATGCCGATGATACGAACTTGAGATTAGTATACAATATCAATTGGAAGAACGGCGTTCTGCTCCAGTCCTTTTTGCCTTAGAACCTGGGCCGTCAACGTCTCAGGCGCGTAGCTGTGGTTGCCATGGGAGAGCCCTTGCCGGAGTACAAGGACCGGCTGTGATATATTTGCATGTATAGGCACTGCTCGGCAGACCGCATGGGACGCTCTCGACCATCCTCATCCTTGTCCTCAGCCTTCCGACTCCCGTCAACCTCGTTGTCATCCTCATTCGTGTTCTCGTCATCGCCCGTATCCTGATGGGGCCAGCTGAAGGGTGTACGTGGCTTTTGCAACATCAGTGTTTGTTCGCTTTGAGTCTATAAGTGCACGGCACTGGCAGCAGGCTTTTCCATTTGCTTAAGATTATGTTTTTCCCCCTCTTGTTGGTTTTAAAAGGAAATTATCACTGGACATTTTTTTTAAACAAACTTTTTGTTCCAGGGATCTTAACCAATTGGCAAGAGGCTAATTACTGGCTTCCACCGCATGTTTTGCCAAGACGCCCATGCACAAGCAATGGGAGGCCAGAGTGCACGAGTTGCTCTTGGCCGAGAAGGCCTTTCGCTTGCGCTTTCGCGAGTGAGACCTTTGGTTCTTTAGTCGGTGGGCAGGAAAAGAGAATTGGCTGTGGGTCAAAACCAATGGTGCCATTTTGGGGTAGGCGCACCACCCATTTTTGTCATTGGGATGTGCACTGGGGGTCGGGCGTTTGACCCATGGCCAATTGGGTGAACGGGGGAAAAGCTGGTGTAGTAGGCTGGTTTAGATGCTTTGACCAATTTATGTAACTTGTGGCTTGGCTTCAAGAATCTGCATGTTGTCAGCTTCATAGACTAGGTATTTCTTTTGTCACAGGGTCCGTTGTCCACTTACACGTCGGGTATGCTTTGGATGAAGCAGGCAAAAGAAGGATGTCAGTCCACAAACCAATCCTGAATTTCTTGCTGCAATTGGTCCCCCAGTAGTGCCCGTTTACCCCTTTTTTGGGGGGGAGGGTTCCCCTACTAAAAAAGACTACAGGAAAACGTTGGTACCCTTATTCCAACCTCTCTACTGGAGGACCTAGCCATGCTTGGGTTCAAACTCCTCAGCCAAACCAGCCTGAAGCCCATTACAGGCGGTGGCCAGAGAGAGGGAGAAGCGAAGGAACTCAGAGGCTGGTTGATGGCCTGCGAGGATAAGCCAGCAGCAGGTTCACCGTTGAAAGGAGTTGGTTGAGAATACGTGGAACCAAACCGAGCTGCAGCTGGGTTTTTGTAGCATACCAGTGCCATCGTTTTTGTTTCTTCTTGGTTCCCCCTTGTAAGTTAGATCCGTTTTTCAGAGGCATGGCTGGTTTGCCAAACTACACAAATGCGCTGTGCACACATGTTGACTGCACATCTCGTGGGGCGAGTTTGGGCAGGTTCTCAAGCGAAGAAACCGCAAAGACCCAGAGGAAGCCAAGGACCGCAGTGCGTTTCAGGGTTTCTGTGCTACTAAATTGCCTACTGAAGTCCACTTCAGTGAGATTTGATTCAGGGAAATTGTATTGCAAAGTAGTGGGTCTTATGCGTGCGTTGCCATGAAAGCATGATTTACGTGTTGGCACTGGTATTCCAAGACCTGACAGGCTGAAAATGGTGAGAAGGCTGCAGGCGGGCTAAAGCCCGGCTTGAGAACCGGTGTGTGTCAGTCATGGTCCATGTTGGATTGCATGTGCGGCCGATTCTACTGACGTTGCAAACCGGCCCACCGCTCAAGCTTCTAATGATCAAGAGAAGCCTGTCTGCCCACTTGCAATCTGTTTGGACATGTGGCCATGGTTCAAAACCAATGGTACCATTTTGGGATAGGTGCACCACCCATTTTAGTCCATTATAGTGGGGATTGGGTTGTTCACTGGGGGTACGATTTGGCTTTGGACCCATGGCCATGTCAATGTGTCTGTGTGGGTGCCTCGTCAATTCACTTGCAGACTTGCGTTAGCGCTACCCTCAGGTGAGGAGCCAGCCGCCGACTCTGAGATGAAGGCCCGCCCTTTTGCGATACCTTTGAGAGCCCTGCAAGATGGTGGTGGAGAAATGAATTGGTTGGTTCTGGGAAGCACCCTCCAACATGTTTCGTGGACATAAACTCCCTGGTAAGCTTTCAAATCATGCGCACCTGAAGCATGCTTTGTCTGAGCTGCGTAGTAAGTTTTTGCGCTCGATTTGTAATGAGTTGCTAGTCACTTCTATCAGACAATGGAAACGCCCACGTCTCGAATCTTGATATGAATGTCATGAAGTGGGTGTGGGTCAAAATTAAACCACCAGGAATTGGACCGCAGGTTTTGGTCCATGTTGCCACTTACCAGGGCAAGCCATTTTGGGGTTACCCTATTTTGATATGCAGAGATTCTTGGGAAACATTGAACTGTAGTATGTCCTAAGTCCGGGGCTTGCATTCGGTCCTTGTCCTCCCATTGCCGGGAATGTTTCACATGAATAATCTTAGACAAGATCGATTTCAGCACTTTAGTTCGTGCATGTCAAAAGTTGGAAGGTGCAATTTGCAATTACGCTGAGTTTGTGTTTGCGTTGTATTCGCTTAGTATTTGGGGGGAACTCCTTTTGTGTTGCGGAGGCACCATGTAGGCAATTCTGGTTCAAGAAACCCTGTGCGGGCAGGTTTGCGTAGGCGTGTTTTACCTTACACAAGCTTATTGTTATGACTTGTGTGTGTGTGACTTGAGAGTAGCCCCCGAGAAAAGTCTGCGTACACTCCGCATAGGTGCTTGTTGCTGCGTATGCTCGCATAAGCACCCTGCCACGGTTTTGCACGCCCGCAGAAGCTCCACGTAGGCAGAATGGCTTGAACTTTGTATAGGGCCGACACCCAAACCCTCATTTTAGCTTTTGATAGTGGAAAGTATCATGTATGATAGCATGCTAAACAGATTTTGGTTTCTAAGCCTTTTTGAACTTAATGCAGTCATTAGCTTGGCTGCATTGCCCTCAGCTCAGACAATTTCACACCTTCATTTCGGCACGCGCTGCCAAAGACTTGGACTCTGCTCCTCCTACTATCACAGAGTTGTCTCCCCCTCGGAGGAGAAATGTTCATTTATTGTGTTGCTCAGCATGCTCAGGCGCACTTGCCCACCCTTAGTGACACCTTCTCACAGAATCCGTTGCGCTCAACTTCGACCTGTTGAACACATCTCCGCCATGATGATGTCATCGCGCACACTTGCATTTATGATCCCGCCCACACCTGGAACAAGCCCTTTCCCCTCACAGAAGAGGATTCTCCAAGCATATTCGCATTTGCAGATACATAGCAGAGAGTATGTCCAGCGACTCCCCCCTCCCCCACTTGAAGACTTGAGGAGGTGTCTCTCCTTTCTGGCAGCCCCATGTCACCAACTTCATTCCCCTTGGTCCGACTCCACAATTGGGACGTGAGAAGTACAATCTGGAGACGGCTCCGTCCTGTCTCATTGAGAAGATGACACTGGTCATTACTTGTAAACGCTGGAAGAACCAAATCATGGAACGCAGTGTTGCGAGCTGCTGTCTTGCCCACATTTTGTGCGGTGTCTTTGCATTTTGAAAAAGCAAAAAGCAAAGTGCAGATCGCAAGCAGTTAACCTAAAGCCCTTGCCACCAAGTTTTTCGGATGTCGCCTATGCCCCGAAAGCTGGAAACTGAAACTCAAGGGCGCTCCACAGGGGCGGAATTCGAGGGGCCAGTCAACTGCCTGAGGACTCTGAGGAGCCTAAGGCTGAGGAGGAGTGAAGTCGCAGATTCGCGCATATCTCTGGGGCCGAGTTGTTGTGAGACTGGTGTAGGATGCTGGACGACGTTATTTCTTCCCCAGAATTAGCTCCCCCTTTTCCTTTTTTGCTTTTTTGGGGTCCCCTTTGTTTTCCACTAACCAGGCAAAAATATATATTTTTTTGCTGGGGTCCTAATTCCAGCCAAGATTTGTTAGATGCCCAAATGTGCCCAACACCCCCATTTTGCAATTTTAGTACGCTGTGCTGGCAAAGTTGATCTTCCAGAGGCCTGGAACAACCAACTCGCGAAGCATGTCTTGGAACAGTTGCAGCTACTGCTGCTGCTGCTGCTGCTGCTGCTGCTGCTGCTGCTGCTGCTGCCCCTACCATTGTCACTACCACTCTCACTCCCACTCCAACGACGGCCACGCCAACAAGCGCCACAATCCCCACACAACCACAACGACAGCAACATCGTCAACAGCAGCAGCCAACGAACCGACCGACCGACCCCACGACAACTGCGGCAGGACCTTGAGCAAGAGGAGCCTCTTGAGCTGAACGAAGAGGAGAAGACTCAGTGGCCCTGAGCTCGGACGGTCATACTTTAGCTTAGACTCCCTACAAACATGAGAACCAGGGCAAATGATACTGTGGATGGACAAAATCCATTTCGCACTTCTTGGAAATCATGGGAAGCCATTCTTTGTTGGTATTTACAGGGGAATCATCCTTCCAGGGTCTCTGAGGTGGTGCAGGATTTCGGCCATCCACAGGAGGAATTGCAACGGGCTCCTGTTGAGCCAGCAGCTCGCTTCCAAGCGACTTCCAAGGATTGGCCTCCGCTGAATCACTTGTAGCTGCTAGCGATTCGCCGAGGTTCCGGAAATTGAGCCCGCCGGATTTGTCTTCGAGCACGCTTGTCCGAAGCCCAAGAGCTTTGAGAAGGCTTCGCATGAAGTCCGAGCTCGGCTCTGCCAGGTAATCAAGGTGTCCGTGATTGGACCATCCATTGCTTCACAGTTCTTGGCGTTTTTTGTTTTTTTTTGTTCAGTTCTATTCATTTTGTGTAGGAGGCTGCAAAGGAACATAGCTTTTTGCTACTGTACAAAAGGTTGTGAAGATTGTGGCCCATAGGTGACCTTTTTGTTTGTTTTGGTCGAAAAATAGATGGCCGTGGTTTACCTGATGGTTTCATCGTCTACCAGGGCCATCTATTTCCCCGAAAAGGACGCCAATTTTGTGGCCAAGCTGGGTGCGGGGAAAGGACTCTGGGACAGAGACCTGCCTTCAGGCCAAAAGCTTTGCAGACTACAGCGTTCCAGCTGAAGACGAAGGCTTTGACGAGATCAGGCTGGCACTCGTTGAGCGTGGTGGTCAAACATAGGGTAACCCCAAAATGGGTTGCCCAGGTAAATGGAAGCCGCGGTTGTATTTGGTGCTTTAACTTTGACCCACAGGTGTGGTTGCTGTGGTTGCTCTGTGAGATGTGATTTGTTGGATTAATCATGAGTCATGAGTTCATTGCTTGATTGCTTTGATTTGCATGGCATGTCTTGCATTCAGGTACGTTTGGCAATCTAAAGAGGAGTGCCACAAGATCATGAGCGACTGGGCCGGGCCGCTTAGACGTTTTCATGTCACCAAGCCAGCAGATTTAGCCATGAATCATTGCAGGGAACAGCCTCATAATGGTTGGTGGGCATAAACCCCCATGCCCTTCAGATGTCCACCTAAGAGCCCCAATTTAAAAACAAGGCCCGCACCATATCGAGTCTCATTGTGATTGCGGAGTGCCCGGTATAATCACTTTCGGATATTGGTAAATCCCTCGAACCCCACCCCTTCCCCCATTAATGCATGTTATGATTTGAACAATCATATGTATTAATAGGGTCCAGGGGTCCCAGGCAATTTCCACTACGGTCCTCGTCCAAATGAGGTCCCCCCCCTTTGCCGCGCACAAACACCATCAACATCCGATCTATATGAAACTGTTCCAGGCACCTTTTTCAATTAAAGTTTAACGGGCTAAATTAAGGCTCCAATTTGCAACTTGAGTTTACACTTAAAGGAAAGGAGGTGGTGAACGTGCCCCTAACAAGGGCTGTTTGAATTTTAGCTTCAGTATTGATTTAAGAACAGTGAAAGGGGGAATGCCTTTGTTTGGCTTTTGGCCTGAAACACATATTTGTCAACAATGGGTGGATTCAACAATAGGGGGAGGGATGCATCCCTCCCGCAAGTCGTCATTGCAAGATTAATGCCGCCGTTCTGGTGTGCATCTTCTTACGAAGTTGGTATTTGCTTGGGTGCCAAGATGTGTGCTGTTTAGGTCAAAGTCGACTATTTTACATACTGAAGTAGATCACCGCACATGTTGTATTGCATGCATGTTTATATTAGGCAGGGGATGGGTGCGCATTGGACCCAAACGCGTCATGCATGCGTTTCTCATGCGCTGCAAGCACCCTCATCCATACACGCAGTACTCTATTGACGATATGGCCTGATCCTGCAGCTAGGTGGCCCGTGCAGCGCCAAAACTGCTAGCTTCTTTTGTCCGGATGCGAATGGATATGATGCGGGAGATGCTTGAGCTTGCAGCTGCAAGATGCGCACACACACATTCTGTAACTGCTTTGCATAAGAAGGTTGCTAGATACCATTGTTCAATGTGTTATTAGCAGTCCTGTTTTTGTATTTGTGTGTGGCTGCCTCGCATGGAATGCGTAGAGCATGGTTCTTTGATTGCGATGCTGTTTGCCCGATGCCGCAGGCTCACATGCATTTCATTCTGGCTATCATACGATACTTCCCATGTATTGTTTGACATGCAGCGTGTTTCGCAGAACTCATGGCTCAGCCTTAAGGATCATGGCACTCATAGTGTGTTGCGTTCATTGATGTGCCCTCCTGTCGAACATGGAACCTGAGACTCTGAGAGGTGGAAGACAAAATTTTCCTTCGACCTGTTGGTGGGTTCCAAGCGTGTAGGGTCGACAGCCCGCGGAAAGCCGCGAGCCGCAAGCGAGGTGTTGGAGCACAAGAAGACCATGCGGATAGAGGCGAACGGCTGGTGTGCGGTGGTTTCTGCTGGCGGGGGTCTTTCACGTGTTCCTCGGTGTTTTTTTTCGCCCCAGCGCGGCAGTAAGGCAGGTGGTTGAGTTCACCTTGGTTTGACACCCAGAGCGTTCCTGGATTCAGTGACCCCTTTTGATATTTGAAATGAGTGCATAGAATTGTCGCACATGTCGTTCCTGCTTCAACAGCAGATAATTGTGAGTTTTGGCCGTTGCCCGAAACTCTACCATCATTGATGGAGGCCTTTGCAGCCATTGGTTTAATCAGTTGGCTGCTGAAATGTGGCTGGACAATTTTGGTGAGGCCCGTCATTCCCTGGGCTTGTTTTGAGGTCTGTTCATGACTGCCCCTGGGCAAAACCGTGCCCCCCAAAATGTCTGGCGCGCGCTATGCAGAAGCCGTGGGGGGCGAGGCATGCGAGGCCCTGGCGCCATAAAATGTCGCTCAGGATCTCATTGCGTCGAGCTGGTTTAGAGAGAGGTTGGCCCAAAGCTCAGAAGTCTCTCACGCCTGGGACGGCTGAGATGGGGCTTAAAGGTCGGACCCCTAAACTTAAGGGTCGGATCTTTAGACTTTAACTTTTTGGGAAAGCAACCAAGTAAACATGGCGCCGCTGGTTCTTTTGGTTTCCCTTTGACGCAAAGCGGGAGCCTCAAAAGAAGACAAGGCCAAGCCTGTAGAGATGGAGCATGGCCAAACAATGCTTGACGCGAAGATCGCATCACTCGTGCACACGTGTGCTATGGAACATTCAATGGACCTTGCGCGCCCTGATTTGTTTGGAGATGCAGATGGAATCCTGAGTTGCAGTGCAAGATTAAGCTTCTTCTTTAAGGTCCGCAAGATGCCCCCCCCCCCGCGCCCCGGAGTTCGGAAGAGTCGTTTGCTTTGTCCATCCTATCCCGTCCTAGGAGAGTTGGCAAAAGCAGCTGACGGAGTGGAAAAAGAAGCAAAGCGAGATCCGCGAGGAGTGGCATTGCCAAGTCTATGCATCCTCTCAGATCTGATTTGCACAGCTGGATATGGCTGTGGGTCAAAACCAATGGTACCACTTTCGGGTACTTGCACCACCCATTTTAGTCTATTTTAGTGGGGTTTGGTATGTTCACTAATGGGTAACCGGGCTTTTGACCCATCGACTGCTCTGCCTCCGTGAGTCTTGCACCGCGCAGGCTATAAAGAGAGGTGAGTTCAAGAAAAGACGGAAAGAGGCACTGACTATGCCGCGCATTGATGGCAAGGGCAACCTGCGTTGCACTTATGCGTGTCACAGAATGAACTTCGGGTGGTTGCTTCAGGGATTGCATAGATGGTCATCCACGGACGTTAGTCAACCAGGGCAAGGACTCCCAAGAATACCATGGCCATGGCCCGCAGGAGTTTGGACCATGGCCAAATGAGCCACGTGCTCAAAACCTTGGTAGATGAAGGTTAGTAAGGGACAATCCCAGCCATAAATAGTTGCGGATATCCGCCTTGGTATTTCCTTACATGGTTCTGGGTCAACCAAAATTAATGGCGGGGTTTGATTGTGACGCAAATGCTCCATTGCAGGAAAAGGAAAAGCCGGACGAAGAGAAGGCGGAATTCGATGCCGAAGCTCTCAGCGACTACGTACACTGCACGAGCCTTTGTACATATGGCCATGGTTCAAAACCAATGGTACCATTTTGGGATAGGTGCACCGCCCATTTTAGTCTATTTTAGTTGGGATTGGGATGTTCACTGGGGGTACAGGATTTTGACCCATGGCCATATGAGCACCGACGATTTTCATAAACCTCCAGTGGAGACGTGCGCCATGTAGCCCCGCTTCAAAAAAACGGTCCTTGATTTGGGGATAGCACGGTTGGTTTGAACCCGGGGGCTCCATTTGCACAGACTGCATTTGTGTTGGGTCTTACTTTCGAAACGTTGGCTACATGAATCTCAGGCCTTTCGGGTTTCAAAAATTGGGTTGCGATGGACTTATTTGTTTGAGTTTATGAGGGACATGGGTTTTTTCTCAGTTCCTCCTGACTTTGCGAAGAAGTAGCGGTGCATGATGTTCAGACACACACAGCTGCCTGTGCAGGGCGAGGAAGATGCAGAAATGAAAGAAGTGAAAGAAGTGAACGAAGGCTCGCCTTTTCCGCTCGTGTGAGCATGCTTCAAAATGTGCTCAAAGACTCGGACCATGCAGTTTGGGGAATCTCAAGATGGGATCATGAGGTTGAGCTTCCGGTGTGTGTTGTGTGTGTATGCTGGGTTTTTGTGTTTGTGTCGCTGAGTCTATGTGTGTGTGTTTTGCTCACGGTCCGGTGTTGGACGTACAGTGCAGCGTCAGAAGTCCGAAGTGTACACAATTCTGTGAGCGCGCTCGAGCTGCAAGCAATGCTAATCTTCGTGTGGAATCTGTTGAGGAATCATCAGTTGGTGGCATGCCTTCTGTCACCTTCACCATCCCACAGGTGAAGAGAAGGATGCCAAAGAAACCAAGGATGAGGAAGAGGAGCGCTGGGCCATTTTGCGGGATTGTTTTTTTTTTTTTTTTTTTTTTTTTTTTTTTCCGAACAGCACAGCGGGGAAGATTCAACGGTTCCTGTCGTATGAGCAATTGATGCAGCATGATGCTCCATTTGGTGGATTGATAGCTTCTCTTACTTCTTGAGCAGTCTGGGTATCTGCACAAGGCGCTTGATGTGTGCAGATCAATTGGTCAGTGTCAACTTTAAGGTAACTCAAACTGCATACACAGGCTCATGTCTGAAGACAGCCACTTGCTCAAAGCCCTCCTTTTGAAAATCAGGTTTCACAACTATGGTTGTGTTAGACACGGTCTCTTTTTTGGGGGGAGAGGTGTTCTTCGTGCAAATCAGGCAATGTTAGGCGGGGAGCAGTCCCAATCCAAACCCGTCACCTTCCAATTGATAGGGGGCCTTGGGACAAGACTAGCCTTTTGATTCTTTTTTTTTTGGGGGGGGCAAGTGATTCAAAGTCTCCATGCAAAACATCGCCCATTTGATGCCTGGGACATGCCGACCGCGCTGACGGCCAGCTCAATGATGACGACATCGATGTTTTCAAGGTCGAAAACGCGCCTTGGCAAGGATGAGCACCTGAAGTGTCGCAGGCATTTGGGCTCCACACTTCTTTGTTGCCTTTCTTACGCAAGATACGGATTACGGATGCACAGCCAACCAACACACTTGCATTCAAGCCTATTTGCTTGTTGGATCCTGTTGGTACCAAAACCAAGCACCATCACAAATGTGGATTCAGCAGACGAGGTGATGGACATCGGAGATGGCCGACCGCTTTTCCTCGGCTTTGTATACGAGGACAAGAAGGGAATGGCCAAACGAGTGCGGGCTGCGCCGCTTGTGTGCTATTCAATTGATCTTTGCGATCGCCGCCTTTTGTACGGAATCGCCATGCTGTCAGGATTGGGTTTTGCTGAACTTGCGATATGAGTCTGGCTCTCAAAGTTCAAAGTGTAGCCGGAGACGCATTGGGTGGACTGAACCTGAGCTTGATGCATTGCCCCGTAGATCCGCTCGCACCCATCCAGAGGGCCCTATGCGCCCGCTGCCATGCGGCCGAGGTTGCATCTGTTGGTTCACGCCTTCAGACATGACGTCGCAGATGATGACAGGCATGGGGCATACCTGGACAACCAAGGGATTTTGTTTGTTGGCGAAGGTCCGCAAAATTCTGCGCATGTCCGGTGAAATCCATACATTTGAAAAACATGTACCAACATTGCACCTGGGTAAATGGAACCAAAGACTAAAACATGCGATCTGCCCTAGCTGTTTGTTTTGGAGCCACGCCCAGATGGCCGCTTTGCTGATTTCCGCTTTACAGAAGAAAGGGTACCCTTATTCTAACCTCTCTACTGGAGGACCTACATGTTATGCGACTGATTCCCAAGAGCCCATCGCCTTTGCTGAGAACTTGCCTTGTCAATCCATTTGCGAAGGGTTGCAAGCGAGGTGTTGTTGTGGTACCTGTATGAAAATTGGGAAATGAAACAGGGCACAAAGGAAATGCCTCTTCTTCCGGTAGCCATCCCAGGTTTTTTATTTTGCATGATGACAAACCTCACAAAGTCCAAGCAGATCGGCCTCAACCATCCACCAGGTGCGTCAAAGCACAGCAGTTTTATTCAATTCTATGGAAGCTTTTGTTCAACAGCCCTCCGTAGCTCTCTCCGTAGGCCAAGCTTTCCTGATGTCCACCTGGAGTTCTACTTCCAGAAGTGCAGTGCTTAGTGGGCGTGCCCGTGAAACACTGAGGGGAGCTCCATTGCGGCACCGAAGAAACATGCACGTCTTCACATGGCGAGAGACCATACGATACTGCCGTATGGTTTTCAGTGTGCGATACATGAAACACGTACTTGACAACGGAAGATCAAAGATGCAGTCGAGGCTGAATTGATAACAGGCTGCATGCCATGCTGTAGACCAAGTCTGTTTCCAATTGATCCTCCGTGACTTCACGCCATTTCGGTAGTGTCTTCACGGGGAAATGTCCAACCCAGGTTAGCACCGGAACGGTTTTGCGTCCTTCCGTCGCTTGAGCTTTGCCTGGTTTTGGGGCCGGCTTGCGCCAGGTACTATAGAAAGGCGCTGAACCTGAAGTTCTTTGGCGTGGACTCCAACGACAACTTAGTAGCCTTGATCAAGGACGCGGCAGCTCTCAGTGATTCAGCCGCGGCAGAATTGACGTCGGCTTCGTGCCGCGCGGTGTCTGCTTTCAAAACTGAGCTAAGCCAGTAGCAAATCGATGACGGGCACACCGCGGTGAAGTTCTGACTTGTTTGGTTACTCTGAATTTGCTTGGGGATGTTTCTGTGCATGTGACCAGGATATGCTGGACTGAGCTCCTATTCAAGTAGTTGCTTACTCTTGTGAAGTTGTTTTACTTGGAGGTCATTGCATCGACAAAGAAGAAGGGAGCTGACATGGGAGTACATCTTCAACGCACAACGTGTGCAGGACACCATCTTGATCAATCAGCAGTCCAGATTTTTGGAAGCGTTGCTTCCGGACGAGGCCTGGGTCGGCGTACGATCGAAGGAAATTAGCACATTTGAGTCACAATCAAAACCCGGGTAGATGAAGGTTAGTAAGGGACAATCCCAACCATAAATAGCTGCGGATATCCGCCTTCTTAATTCTTTACATGGTTCTGGGTCGAGAATTTTTGCACCAGGTTTTGATTATGACTCATCTGAGCCACGGCCCAACGCGTGTTTTTGGTTCTGCGGCGTAGCAGCCTAACGGGGCCAGCAACCAAGAACGGAGGTGTCAGAATGAAGGCCGTAAAGAGCACATGCGTGAAGATAAGTGCCCCCTGAACTTGAAAGGATGGCCAAAACTTCCAACTTGAACGCCTCGCAGGTGATCAGGAACCCTCGGTCTCATAAGCCTTCAGTTTTCAGGGGGCAATAAAAGCGACCAGGACAGCGGAAGCCGCCCTGTGGGGTCAAATAAGACCCCAAACGGGTGGTTGTTCTTGTGGTTTCCTACCAGCAAATGACACCAAGCCATATTAGTTGACTTCTACCTTTGGACACGTTGCCTCCTTTGCAAGTGGATCAATGCCAGAGATGTTGAGTCAGATTCGTTGGGTGGCAGAGGGTCGGAAGGCACCGGACCCAGAATCAAAGTTTCCACACACACACACACACATGCACGCACGCACTCACAAACGCAAACGCACATCAGCACTGAAGAACAATTTGTGACCCGTAAATGTGAATTTCCCATCGAGGAAGAGGACATGCTGAAGGAACCCCCAAATTACACCCCAATGAGTTCCCGGCTGTATCCAGACAACTTGCTGGGCTTCTAGGGTCAGATCTTTCATGCCCAACCCGCTTGTTCCCGGTAAATTGTGTGCCTTATTCGTAGAAATTCCGTTGGTACAGGGGGGTCTTTTGCTACCTTGTGTGAGAAAATTGCCGGCCTCAAAAAGGAATCCTGCAATCTACGAGTCGATCAGCCCCAAAAGCTGGCAAAAATACTTTTTTGCTTTGGTACCTGCTGGCTTCTTCTTCTTTGGCTCACAAAAATGTACCCCAAATGGCACCTTGGTCTACGGACACAATGACCAAGACTTGCGTAACCCCCAGCTGTTCAAAATTTTGAGCCACAGCCATTTGGCATGGGTCCCTTGGGGTTTCGACGCAGAAAATTTGGGGATTGGGTCACGTTCACTGGGGGCTAACCGATTTGGCTTTTGACCCATGGCGTGTAGAAATTCCTTCGGTAGCTGGGTCAAATCCCGGTTAGCCCCCAGGGAATAGCCAAATCCAACCACTAAAATAGGTTCTTAAAATGGTTGGTGAATTCACCTGCCAACCAAAATGGGATCCTTTTGGTTTTGACAACCACAGCCAAATAAGAAGCCAGGTCAAAGGATTACTGTGTACGAATGCACACATTTCTCCCGAGAAGCGTGTTGGCCAGGAAAGATCCGACCCTAGAAGCCAAGTAAGTTGTCTGCATAAAGTCGGAACTCATTGGGCTGGGTCCTTTTTTTTTCTTTCTTTTTCCCAGGAGCCGCTGGACAAGTTCGCGCGCCTCGCGGAGGAGCACCGGAGGGAGCGGCAACGTGGGGAGCCCAGGGGCCCCCACAATGCCCAAAGGGTGCATGGTTCTAAGGGTACCTTCCATTTCCATTCTTTCCAGGGATCTGGATCTTTCTAGAAAACCTCCTTTGAAACCCAGGGAAAGTGGCTGGTTTTTGAGACAAACGATGGTTGGAAAGAATGGGGAATCAAGTCCCGGACTGGTTTAAATCACCAGAGGAAATGGGGGGTGTCTTAATATCGGGGAACCCCCAGGTTTTGCGGTTGGTTTCCCTCGACTTACTATAAACGGGGGTCCAACCAAAAGACGCCATGGCCCGTGTGTTTGAACGTATCGGGGGCCCCCAAGTTTTGGGGGGCGGGGGGATGGGGGGGCAAGCCCACCAGACGCCTCTTCCAACTCTATACTCAGGAGTCTATACTCAAGAGAAGACTGAGTTGATGATTCATGATGGCAAATGTGCTTGGGAGAAAGAGTCTAGGATGACAATCGTTCGCTTGACAACTATCCGGGCTGGACCAACGGGCACAAAATAACTTGCCACATAGGCAAGTGCAGGGTGGATATTGCACGGTATCAACAATTGCATGGTGTTGGAATGTGTCTCTCCATTCAAAGCTTCGAACGCCAAGCTGTTCTATCATGTTGACAGGCCTGAATGGTGCTCCCACTAAAGCATACTAAAGCTACCAACACTAGGACTGATAATCCATGATACACATGAGCTGTTTGACGTCAAATAAGCACATAATTATTCCTGAGTGCAGTTGATGAACCATGACAACGAGCAAACAAAGGATGGTGCACATAGTGCACACCCGGGGAACACCATGTCAAGCATCCATTCACTAATCAGCCCTCTCTTGGTTCATGGACCCCTAAGGGGGGGGGGGTCTTTCCCTGGACAAGCCCAGGGTAAGCCAAGTTGATAACCCCTCAATAATGCCTGGTTAAATAGGGGAGTTACGCCCCCCTTAGCCCGTTCACAGTTGGGCTACTAGATCACGGCAAAGAGCAGACAAGCTCGCAAAGGAGATGAGATTAGCTCGACCAGCAAATGGGTGAGACCGAGCATGCTGCAAGTTGATGTCCCATGTTGGATTCAAAAGTGGCCTGGACGTTTTGCGACTTGGCATGCTCATAGGTGAGCTTTTTGGTTGTTTTGGTCGAAAAATAGATGGCCCTGGTTTACCTGGTGGTTTCATCCAAGGGCCACCTATTTCCCCGAAAAGGACGCCTATGGGCATGTTTTTCAGACTTTGCTTGCACAGAATTTGCCGGCTTCGGGACTCGAAACTGGGCCAGCGGGCAGCCCCGGAGAGCGGATCTCGGCCGGATGAAGCGCGGGACTGAGGATGTATCGATGCCGGCGATGAGACGGCTGTCCTGAAATTCGCCCGACCAGCGGGGCTCCTAACACGCGGCCATCAGATGTGAGGGAAAGATCATGTGTTTTAATATCTCTCGAGATTTGAGGCCTCTCCAAAGATGCCCGTATTTGGTAGGGAGAAAACCGATTGCTATAACCTGTTGAGACTGGATGTAAACCCGTGTCAGAAAAAATGCTACAAGACAAGCGATAGGTTTTGTTTGCCCAGACAGGCCGAGTCTGAGGTTGATGTCACGGCCGCGGCTTACACTTGCTGCAGCCTGTATTGTGTTGCTTCCTAGCGTCGTGCAATGGTTATCAGCCCTAGCCGCAGACGGCAATCAACCTCTTAGAGTATCGTCCTTTGAGGTTCCTGGGGTGAGCAGTTCGGTCCACTATCAAAAGACACGCGGATCTCAGGTGCAATGAGGCAACCTGGTTGGTCTTGAATGCCATTTTTTTGTTGCATGTTTGTTTGTTGAGGGGGGGGGGGGTGCGGGTTGCCATCTAGACTCTGTTTCATTGGCAAGCATCCCGGAAATACTCACAAGGAGACTCAGGTCACAACTAGGAACAAATATGACAAAATGAGCAAATCAAGACCCAAGCCAGAGCCGAAACCCTTCACTTCCTTGCCTACACCCAAAACCGTAAACCCTAAACCTGAACCCTAGGCTTTTTTGGTTTCCGCTTCCTTTGCGCGGCGACTGAGGCACCGCCCCCGCCAGCGAGAGCGCCTGGCGCCCGAGCGGCTTACGGGGGACTCGTTGTCTAATCTTGTGTAAAGCAACAATCCAACGCTAGAGTGTCCTACGGAAAGGATGCAGTATAGTTTTGCGGAAGCAAGAAAGTGAGACATTTCTACGGGGTTAAGTTGTGATTCACATGTTTTCCCATCCACCAAAGCAGGCAACCAAGACGTCCAGATTGACAGCACTGGCAAAGAAGGGCATTGCTCTGTTTATCACAACTAATATGATGTTCAGTGAACTGAACATGCTGACAGCGGACCCCTTGCTCAACGATATCGTGGGAAGGGAGCTTTGTGAATGTAGCCAGGGCCACATTGGGGCTGCACCAGAGCGACTTCATTCCCCAGAGTGCCACCACAAGTATGTTGATGGCGAGTCGCCGCCAACCCCTAGCGCCTTTGCATCATCTTTTCCAAGACATAGCGCATGCATGCAGCAGCGGCAGCCGCTGCCGTAGCCACAGCAGCTACAGCAGCATTTGCGTTTTCATTTGCATATTGCATTCGCATCGACTGAGCGCACGCGCTTCAGGAATGACTATGTCGATCCCAAAGGCAAAGGCGGCAAGAAGGGCAAGTTCGAGGCACGGCACTGTTTGGGGAACGACCGGACGGCGTGCTAGAGACAATGTCAAGATGTTTACGCATTAAATAGCCATTTGAGATGGTTCAACTTGAGTGCTGCCTTCAGAAATCAGACGTCATATGGGCAGCTGCCAACGTGTTGGCTGAGTTGCCTGCAGCTTGTTCCAGTTCGCTTCGAGGAGTACATGGGGCAAAAGGAATCGGCAAAACCAGACATGAATGGTTGAAGATTTGCTGGAATGGCGCCTGTGACGACCAGTTTGCAATCCTGTATCACATACCAGTAGAGCCAGCGAAGCCAGCGGGCGGAGATCTCAAACAATCTAAGACTTGTGGTTATGTTTTTCCTTTTCTCTCTCTCTCTCTCTCTCTCTCTTTGTCGTCCTCTTTCATTGCCGTGCCTGACCTTGCAAAAGTGCTGCCCCTGACACAAAATCTGCACCTGAAATCTGTACCTGACCTTGCGAAAGTCCTGCGTTTGCCGGGCAATCTAGTGTTGCGAAAGGTGTGCGCGTCCGTGGCAATTGGCCGGGCTCGAGCTCGCTCCGATCGCGGTTCGACCAGGACTCATCTTTCTCATGCGTGCTGACTCGTGGTTTGTTTTTTTGTCAGACTAGTGTCCGTGTCCGTGCCACGGAAGCTCCTTCCAAGCTTCTTTTGAACAAGTGCCATGTCACATGCCTCGGTTTTTCCCCGCACCAGGGATCTTTCGAGGCGGATCAAAATTACGTTTGAAGCAAACTGGACTGGAAAGCCTCCAAGCTATTTGGAAGTAGCGTAGTGGATTTTGTGTGAGCTCGGCAGCGGGCGGGGTTCGCCGGTCAGCACGCCCAGCACAAAGCGCCAAGCGAAGCTTAATTCTAGATGAGGGTAATTACATAATCATGTCATTGAGCACAATGCAGATTCACCTTGGCTCACATTTGTAAGTGCCCAGCGTTCTAAGAGCGGTTGAGCAGGAGGATATGGGTTCCACAGGCAAATGCCTGGAATGAAGAGGATGTCACTGAAGTATACTTGCCTTTTTTGCCTGAGCATCGGCTTTGGCCAATGGCAGGACCAAGCCATTTTTTACTGGGGGGATGACGGGGGACGGGGGCTCAATAACCCCAAGCAGGCTGTGTGTTCTCTGATCCCAACAAGCGTACGACTCTGGATCGCTCAGTATCCAGTGACTTCAGCCACCGCATGCCGCAGGGCAAAGGCAAGAGCCGCGACCGGCCCGTGCCAGCGCCGGAGAAAGGTTCGCGAGGGAAGGGGCCGAGGGACGCGCTGGGCTCAGGTCCTGTGGCAAGCGCAGTGAGCCTTTGATTTGAGTTGTCAGCATGAAGTCCTTTCCAATTTCGACCTCGCCCATGCTGTGACACGACTCAACTCAGGGGTGTAGTACATTGTCAAAATAGGTCCAAATGTCGGCCCCCTAACTGTGGCCTGTTTCGAGTGGGGCCAGCAGAAGAAACAAGCAGTTGCTGATGGTCTACTTACTACTGGTGTATGTATAAATGCATCACAGTAAATATGGCCATGGATCAAAACCAATGGGATCCCATTTTTGGGATAGGTGCACCACCCATTTTAGGCTTTATTTTAGTGGTTGGATTGGGATGTTCACTGGGGGTACGATTTATGGGTTTTGACCCATGGCCAATATGTTTCTTCGCCACCGCTCAGGGCAAGACCGGCCACCCTCGTCCACCCCTGCCACCGCAAAGTCACAGCGGTGGCCGGACTGCTGGCTACTCGCGACGTGCTTAGCTGCTCTCTAGTGGCCACTCGCGCTGAAGCTCTCAAGTTTCAGGAGTACATCGCAGAAACATATCCTTGCAACACAGGATGTACTCTACACTGTATATATGTTTCTTGTTTTGTTTTCAAATACTGTTTAATGCCCCTTCGCAGATAAGTTGGGGCCGCCCTGGCTAGTCACAAGCAACAGGCGTGCGATGTTGAACATGTATTCTTGCCCAGTTCTAAACACATATTCAAGTTGTAAGAAGTTCGGAACATCATATTTGAAAATTTAGAAGTTCAGAACAGGCATGCTAGTTCAAACAAATGCAAGTTAGAACATCACATTTGTTTACCCGTTACAGAAGTGCAAGATGCAGCTCGGCCGGCGTCCAAGACACACCCTGGGCGTGAGGCGAGACACCACCAGGCCAAGCGGGCGCCAGGAATGGCGAGGCAGTGGAGGAGGCGTGCAACTCCGGGAAAGACTTGCCGGGTTGGTCGTAGGTTTCCCAGTTGCCCAGTGGATCTCGCCTTTTTTTTGAACTTTTTTTGGGGAAGGGTTCCAACCAACCAAAAAAAGGCCCTTTTTCCCCTGGCCACTGGTGTTCCGTGCTGCTTGGTTGCCCTTGGATCGAAACGTTTGAGCCCCACATATCCCCCGTAGCTGTCAGTGCGCGGGTCACGGGTCGGCGAGGATTTGTCCGGAGCAACTCCTCAGCTTTGATTGGCTCATGTTGGCCTCATTATTTTGCCATGATCAAAGTCACCCCCCAAGCGGTGGGTTAAAGGGAATCCATTTTCTGACTTTGTTAACCCCCAGAAACAGTCAAAATAATAAACCCAGTGATTTTGGCTCCCTTACGAAGTTTGCCTTATGTTCGCTGGAAGCATGGTTGCCCCTTCAAAATCGAAACAACTTGCTGCGAGCAGACGTAGCTGTTTGTGCTGCAGAGAGAGAGAGAGAGAGAGAGAGAGAGAGAGAGAGAGAGAGAGAAAGAGAGAGAGAGAGAGAGAGAGAGAGAGAGAGAGAGAGAGGGGGGGGAGCGGCAGGGAGGGAGGCAGAGAGGGAGGGAGGGAGGCACGCAGGCAGGCAGGCAACAAGCAAACAGGAGGACGGACAGACAGACAGAACCCCCTTATTCAGTTGATGCTGGGGCCTGGTTGGATGACATTGCACACTAGAGCTGATTATGACAGCCGTATTAGAATCAGGATCACACAGGTGTGGAGATCATTGAGGTCAAGTATCATTCGAGTGTGAAAGAGGTGCAAGGCATTCCTTGGGCCTTGCATCCTGTTTGGTCTTGCGCAGAGGCCCCCGCAATGGGCCCCCAGCTCCTCAGCGAAGTGCCTATGGTGCCTCGACGGGTCCAATGGGTCAGCGGGTCAGACGGATGCTTCGGTCGAAGGATAGGCAACCCTTGGCCTTGTGGGCCATGGGAAGCTCATCCATTGAGCTCACGCGAAGAAAGGGCTTCTCCGGTGAAACATCGCATGTCGAGGCGGGTTGTTTGGTGGAACCCCCTTGTTGGCCTCCGGGTTTTTGTGCGAGTAAAAACCATTCGGAACTCGGTTTCACTCAAGACTCAAGACCTGAAGATATGGATGCCGCTGCTGCTTCTTTGTTTTGTTTGCCTACGATATGTTGCATGAAGCCCAATCAGGCTGTGACCAAACCCAACGATGTACCTTTGGAACAGGGGCCCTCAGAGTTGCTACATGAAGAATTGAAGCACAACCGGCAAGCCATTCCCTTCTGGTGGGAGGGTAACTACAGTGGAGTCGCACAGCTAGCCGCAGTGGCGTGACAGTTGGGGTTCGAGCATTGAAATGCCAAATGCCCGGCCTTTGCCACCCGTTTGCTGGCACGTGTATTCCTCCAAAGTTTTCGAGGGATTTCCATACTGCCTGAGCCATTGCTGTTAGCAAAAAATCCGGCAAACTGCAGTATTACACCATGCTTCGGTTATGCCAGGGAGTCTTTGTGTGGCCATTGAATGCTGGCATTGTGCAGAATGAGGTCGTGTCAGTCCGGAAAGCGCGATTGGGTGCTTGTGCTTATTGATCTTTGCAGCATCTGGGTGTGGGTCAAAATTCAACCACCAGGGACCGCAGGTTGTACTCCAAGTTTCCGTTTACCAGAAAAAAGGTACCCATCTGAAGAAAACGTAAACCTGCTTGCTGTTCAGCTGAGGCCAAAGTACTGGTGGCTCGAGAGGCATGGGCGCAGACCTCAGGTAGTTCGCCGGGAGAGATGAGCGCAAGATGAGAGTTGCAGATGTCCATTATCTTGAAGGTTTCGGGGGTGATCAAAGTCAGAAAATGGTTGGTTGTTTCCCTTAACCCACCACTGAACGGGGGTGACTTTGATCATGGTAAAATGGGTGTGGGTCAAAAATTAGTCCACCAGGATATGGACTGCAGGTTTTAGCCCATGTTTCCATTTACATGGGTTCCATTTTGGGCACCTATGTTTGACCCAATTCCGAATTCCGTTTCACAGACGCATGTTGGTCACGACATTTGTTGAGAGGCAATTCAGTAGGGTTAAGTGTAAGGTCGACGTCCATTTAGGAAAGAACCTGCCAAGGAGAAGAGCATGAACTGTGGTTTACGAAAGAAGCTGTTCCGCGTCGATGTCGAAGGCTTCAGTTTTTGTTTGGAGTGGAGGCTGATGAAATTCCATTTTGTTTCGCCCTGCAACGATTGCTGACCGTTCATTGTTCGATTGCAGATGATGCTCTGAGCCCCTCAATGCATTGTCATGATGAAGTATTTCTGTTATCAGCTGTGCCTGTGAGCCAGGTTTGTTGGCAGGATGTTCACATTTGGTGAAGGTATGACTTACCTGCTGCTCAAATTAGCTTTCGAGAAGTTGTGCTTGGTCCGCAAGTACCGGTGCCATTGTATAGTGTGGCAAAGAGCAATCAAGGACAAGCTGCAAGATCTGCAAGTACGGAAGGTTTAAATTTGAGATAATGTATAATCAATTGTCAGCAAGCAATTTGAGTTGCCCTTTGCGCAGTTTCCATTCTGCGATACTGCAGGCTTCCAGAAATAGCAATTTCAACACGTTTGGAGCACGTGTGTGATTCTGAGTGCAGCCCGTCAATACTTCTTGTACGCACAGATTAAAGCGTCCATTTACAGATGTGCTTGTCTATTCATGTATTCACTAGTTGTGTTGCTTGCTCTTTTATTTATTCACTTTGGTTTATGTGTGTCTTTGTCGTTTCCCCATTACGTCATGGATAACTTGATCTACTGGCAAATCGCCCTGTTCAAAGGTAGTCTCTCCTCGTCGCGACTTGGTTTTAAGGACTTGCTCCAACTGTCAAACTAGTTCTCTCACTTGACGACAACTTGTGATGGTCGTAGATGCTAGATTCTGAGTCTCAGGCGGGGATCGAGGTGGCGATCGGCAAGGGCAGCTGCTTGACAAAAGAAGTGGCGCGTACAGAGGTGTGTGTGTGTGTGTGTGCGTGTGTTTGTGTGTGTGTGAGAAGTCATGGGCTCAATTTGCATGACAATAAGATCAAGGTTCCTCTTTCGCGAAAATGTGAGGATCTTGCTTGAGCAATGGTGACGGTTCAACTATATCGTGGCGGCGAGGCTACAAGGATCCTTGTTGCTGAGAACAATCCGGCGTTTCTTATTGAACTATTCTGCCCAGTTAAGATGGGTCTATCTTAGTCTCTTAGGAAGCCACAAAAGGTGGGAATCCTACCGTGTTCTTAACCAATCAGAAGCCAAGTATGATTACGGGTGTTCTCCAGCAGAGAAGGTTCACAAAATGTAGGGCGCGTTCCCTCTTGGGCCATTGCGCCTTTTTGCTTCGCTGAGCTTGTTGACGGAAACCAGCCTAGTCTTTGAGCGGTGGTCTGGATTGACATATTTGGATCAACGCAAGGCATTGCCTTGTTCTGTTTGGGGTCCCAATTCCATTTCCTGGGTTCACCATCCTCCCCCAATTCCGCTTTTAAGGGGGTGGGCATACCCCTGTCAAGTGCGAGTCTGTGGGTTCTCCTTGGGTTTCCCTTTGGGAGCCAAGGCCAAGGGGGGCGGTCATGACTTGTCCCATCACGAATCACAGTCTTTCGCACTCAAATTACGCAGGGAAAAAGTGCGTGCCGCGAGACTTTGTCAGTAGGCTGCAATGTGACAGATGTGATTTGGGTGCGGGTCAAAATTCAAGCACCAGGGACAGCAGGTTTTAGTCCTTGTTTCCATTTACCAGGCTTCCAATTTTTGGGTACCTGTCTTTGACCCACACCCATTTGGATGTGTAATAATTGGCCCACCTTTTCGACAGGGACCCGGTGTCAAGCGGAGGATCCGGGGAAGGGCTTTTCAAGTTTGGCGGGTCAAGCAATTAGTTGGTGGGCATGCAGAGCGTGTTGCGCTTGGCTGGTGAGGATATTTGCCCATGGGTTTTGTATTCTTGTGCTAGAGCTTGGGCGCTGCAGATCCCCTCCACCTTCGAGCAAGCCAAAAATCTCACAAACATAGGTGTCCCTTTTGGTTTACCTGGTGGTTCAATTATCTACCAGGGAAACCCATTTGTTTTTTCCAAGAAGGACACCTACGATCACGAACTGTTGTCCGCATTCTGCTGCTCAAGCCTCAGGAAACGGCCCTACACGCCGCCGCCACCCTCGGCTTATGCAAAGCGCGGGGCTCGGAGAGACTCGAAGGACATTGCACCGCCCAATGTCAGGTGGACATATTGGTGCCATGGGCTGTTCAAACTCCAAATCGGTTAGCCCCCCAGTGAACGGGACCCAATCCAACCACTAAAATCGGTTCTGAAATGGGTGGTGAATTCACCTACCCCAAAAGGAAGTCCCATTGGTTTTGACCCACAGCCATATTGGTACCATGGGAGCATGCAACCTGAAGTCATGACATGGTCATGTGATTTGTTGCTTGTACAAGGTATGACTTGACCTACATATCAACCCAAATCTGCAATGGATGGAGAGGTTGACACAAAATGTCCACAAATCGTGAAGCATGTGGACGCTATCTCACATGGTCCCTTTTTACGGAGCCCTTTCTGGCAGAGCACGAGGCTAGTGGGTTTGATGCGCACGTTTTTCTGGTTAGGACTGCAGAAAGCTCACATTTCCAGGTCCAAGTATGTATACAACTGTAATCTGAATGGAGGGCAGTCAAACATTTGAATATATAGAGGTATGTCAACCGTTTTCCTGAAAGCAGTGTTGCCGTTTTCATCGCACTTAGTTCATAGCTTCAGGGCAGCCACAGCCAAGGCAACGCTACTGAGTGTGCGGAGGGCCGAATCGCCATATTCGTTATGCAAAATGGAGTGACTCAGCGTAGAGACCAAGAGATGTCCAGGGCTGGAGGCAGTTTATACAGAGATGTTCCTTTCGCTGGATTCTGCAAAGCATGCCTGCCACATGGATTTACATGTGCGCGTTGGACCTTCGTATTGTGAAGAGGGCTACATGCAAAACCTCAACGAGGGCAACTTTAGAGCAATGCCGAGCTAATTGTATGGCGGTCACGCCAAAGGTTGCATTCAATAGAAATTGTTCCCTGCCATTGATGCTGTCAAAGTTGGTAATGTTGACCCCAGATTACAAACCCCAGTTTATTAATATGGGGGTGTCCCTGGTTTTTGGTGGGGGTTTATCTCATTTCTGGAGGGAAACACCCCCATATCAATACACCGGGGTTTATTAATCCGGGGTCAACATTATAGTGATGGCTTTGCCGCGCCGACCTGATGTTTGCCAATGTTCAGTGTGATTCCTGGCGCCGCCGTTTCGTTGCAGCGCCCTGTGCTCTATCAGTCACTGGTAGCAGCCGGGGCAGGCCGGACCGCAAGGAACTGGAAGTGAAGGGCCAGGTCCCAATCACAAGACTGCGGGACAAAGGACAAGAGTCGAGGATCGTGATGGAGGTCCGCAAAGTGTGTGCACTTGGGGGCTTCTGATGGAGCTCAATTTGTTTTGGCCATGGCAGCTCACACTGAGTTTGCAACCTGTTGATGCATATGGGTATGTGTCATTTCGGGAGACCCCCGAAATGGTGTTTTTCCTTTCGGTGGCAAGTTCCTTTGAGCCGCCAGAATGAAGTTCCTCCTGGGCGTGCTGCCCTGCGCAGCCTTGGCCGGCTTAAGCCAGCCGCTGGCTTAGTCCGGATCAAGTTGGGACACCCCTTGTGTGCCGTTGCTAGGATTGGAATGCGGTCTCAACAGGGCTATGCATTCAAGCGCTGCCGGGAGAATCACAATCTAAGGGTGCTTGTGAAGAGGTTGGCGTTGGCAAAAGGTTTCAGTGCCAAGTGTTCCTCGCGGTCGCGAGTCTTTCATTCCGAAAAATATTGGTTTGGATTTGCTCTTTGGGTTTGCACCTTGCACTAGACTATGTTTGCTGCCTGGTTCGACGATGTTTGCTGTCCATTTGGCCATTTGGAGGGGTCAATAACTGTGCCAGATGTAGGAGTGAGACTCTGTTGGAAGGTATAGTTGGGAGTAGCAAACTCTGTGCAAGGGAAAGCAACGGCAACCGTGTTTTCGTCATGCCACGGGGCAAGAAGCTGTGAGGGGGCATGCTGCTGGATAAATTTATAGCAAGACTTTTCTTGAGTCACGAGCTTTTCCGAAATCCTGGCGGTCAGTTAGATTTGTGCTTAAGACATGTTGCTACACACGGTTTCGTGAGCGGGTCGTCCCAAAGCACCACTTGCGTGAAGCATTGCGTCTTGCAGTTGAACCCGAGCTCAGGCATGGCAGTCCGGTCACCCGCGTCGTCAACATGCTCAAGGCAGCACCACGCTGTGCCAGAAATGCGACGCTCTACCTGCCTGAATGTCTAGTGCATAGGTGTCCTGTTTGTGCAGTTAGTTGAGAAATAAAAGGCCCGGTAGACCCATTGGTTTAATCATCTACCAGGGCTATCTATTTTCCCAAAAGGACGCTTATGGTCTAGTGGTTCCTTTTTGACTTACCCTCAATGCCGAAAAGCTCTTCCTTTGTCTATGGCCACTCATGTAGCTTGCGCTCTACCTCCATGATTCCCTGCATCGACTAAAATGCCGAATCCACTTCGTGACTTCTGCAATTGGATGTGAACAGGCTGGCCTACGAAATCCAAAATATATACTTGCAAAAGGCAACGTAGGGAAGAGACGACAACTAATTTTATGGGGTCCTCGCAATAAGCTACTGGCTGTGTCCTCCGTCAGGGAGGAACATAAACAAGCACACTAACAAATCAGCCGCCACCAGAAACAAGCACACAATCAAGCACCAGGTGTGCGCCATGTATTTGTCTCACACAACTATTAACACATGAGCTCGCGCCCGACTTGTTTCCTAAGCGAGCCAAGCCTCAGCTTCTCCAGTTGACCTATCGAAATCCTGTTGACTTGCCAGGCTCCCAGCTTGAGTTACTCAAGCAACCCCAAAAGTCCAGCTGTTTGTTTGGGTAGACTTAGGATACATTTTATATTTTTTCCAGTGACTTAAAGTGAAGCAAACCATAGGCTATACATTCTATAAGTGGGCCTTTGTCGAATCATGTTTCGAGTCATTGCGGTGAGAAGCGCAAGTTGGCTCACCACTCAAAGTCGCGGTCGTCTTTGCAAGGAGCTGGACGGTCAACTGGAAGCCGATGGTGAGGCTGAGAAGGAGACGATCCGCAAGCCGCTGGCGAGTCGTTTGAGTGCGGGTGCCACTTATGACGTGTAAAAAGATTGGTGGTTTGGGGATTTGAACCCCAGGCTTTTGTAGAATGGGACAACCTCCAAACCACCAATCCAAAGCAAAAATCAGAGGGAAGCTGACGAGTGACAGGCTAAGAGGAAGTTCCTTTTATAGCCGGGATATGTGGGCGGGCAGCCCCGAAGATGGCGGCTTTGAACGGGAGGGTCTGGGTCAAACATCGGGCTTGCTTGGTCTTGTAGAACCACCACTTCCGAAATCTGGTTTGCTCAATAAGAAAGCACGAGCAGGTAGTGGGTCGCGAGGACTTGTTTCAGAAGTACACTTGCTGGGCGGAATCCACGGTGACCGAGAAGACGCCCGAGGCTTGGTGTAATCTCTGAGAATTGTTTTGGTGTGTTCCCTGTACACATGTCCTGTGAAGAAATAAGGCGAAGAAAGAAGGCGGCGTAGCGGTTGTACCATCAAACAAAAGGCAAGTAGAGCGTTCGTATCTGCGAGACACGAGGTCAGCCGTGGAGACGGCGAAGCAAAGAATATCAGCTCTGAGCACGTCGGATGCTCAGCTACTCCAAGCTGTCTTTACACACGTGGTGAAGCGAAAGGAATGCAACACAGAGAACCAGGGATGTGCGTGAAATTAAAACATATCACTCGCTTTAGCTTTGTGGTGCTTGCAGGTACATTGCTGACGTTGAGGCAGGCAAGATCACTTTTACTTCGGACAAAGAGGACTTGGAGCAGGCTGGGGTCGCAGACCTGTGTGGTTTGTTGTATATGCGTACACTCGTTCTGCCATTCAAGCTCCCCACAATTGTCAAACTCAATTCTGTATTAGTTGTGGAAGATGATGTACGGATAATCACTGCAATCAGCATCCAGGAAATTTAGCAGATGGAGGCAGTTCTACATTGAACATATCATGTCATTGCAGGGCACAATTCCTGAGTCGGGTGCTTCGCCGAAAAGCAACACAAGATATATTGCAGTCAGAGTAGCACAAGGGACCCCTGTCTCTTGAACACTTGTTCAACATATCGTCAGGAGTTGTCAGTTCGATTTCTGCAGTTTTGGATGTGTCGGGTCCCAATGCCCAATTTTCAGGATCTGGCCCGCATTCGCTCGGAGCTCACAAACATCACTGCACGGCGCCTGGTTCATTCGTGATGGTCAGCTGCGAGAATTTGAATTGGGGATTGTGCGTGCGTGTGTGTGTGTGAACATGCGTTTCGGGCCGTCCCAGCTTGATGTTGGCCTGCTTCCTCCTCTCATCTCTCCCTCTTTCTCGCTCTGTCACTTTATCTCAGGCGCTCTATTTCGCTTTCTCTTTGTCTTTCTCTTTCTTCCTTCTTTGCGTAAAGACTTGGTCTATTGGGCCTGCGGGGGCATGTGTGCTGTCGTTCCAGGACCTTGTGCGGAGAAATTTCTCTAAGGCGGAAAGAGCAGAGGAGCACAAGACATTTGAGGTGAACAAAGCCGATATGGAGAAGGCCACGTTCCACGCACCGCTGTAGCCCGTTTGGGTGTCTCTTGGGTTGGCCTAAGCGAGCGTTCTCGTTTATGACCCTGGCATCAATGTGTTTCGTTTGGCATGTGCCTTAAGTGGGCCAACCTCACGGTGAGCTTGACTTACTCTGTGGCCAACGAACCAGACACGAAAGGCTGTTCCATTCCCAGGCCAAACAACTGAACCCAGCGTCACATTGCCAGTTTTGTATGCCTAGGTCCCCCAGTAGCGCTCTTTGACCGTTTTTTTTGGGGGAGGGTTCGCCTACTAAAACAAGCTAGAGAAAAAAGAAACGGTACCCTTATTCTAACCTCTCTACTGGAGGACCTTGCTTGTTCTCTCGGGCATCGAAGGGTTTCAGTCCGACGCTTTCTGCAGGCGATCGCCGGCCTCAAAGAGGTGATGACCAGCTTGAAGGCCCCGAAGGGCCGAAGGGTGTGGCACTTACGACTCAGCCGGAAGATGTGTGGGGCGGTTTGATGGGGTGTGGCTCAAACTTAGAGAGCTCGGGTTGCGCAGGTTTTAGTCTTCCATGTTGGTACAAGTAGTACCGCGCAAGGCGGTGGCGGAAGTTTCTAAAAAAGAACCACTATAGGAGGCTTGAACAACCAGGGCAAACATGTTTGGGGCCAAATTGAAAACCAATCATGTTTTGTTTGTGACGAACATGGCCAAACGGTCACAAAAGAAATCAACAGGTCATGTCTTCACAGGCAACTATTCCACCGCTCGGACAAAAACTGGAAAGAAAACCTGGCTGACAGGGAGCCTGCCTGACCGCAAATGTTTGACAAGTCTTAAGCCTCCATCATTTACCCTTTGTTACCATCCGCCCGCCCGTTGTCCCACCGGCTCTTTTTCCTTTTTATGCGGGCAGATTCACTTTGTCTCTGTTCAAGGCAGCACGGTCAGAAAAGACGCATGCTGCCAGGCAAGGCACACTGCAAGGCACACGGCCTGGCAAGCGCCGGGCGGTCAGAAAAGACGCACCCTGGCGCATCTCAAGCGCATTCAGCGCTGTCTTGTCAAGCGTTCAAGGTCATCGTGCACCTCTTGCGCCGCGGTGCGAAGCTGGAGACACTCGTCAATGTCATTTTGCTCGAAGTGTTTTTTGGCGTGCAGCGGAGTAAAGGCAACCAAGCCGGGTATGTCTTGGCCTTCGTTGCTGTGAAACTCAGGGAGCCAGCGGGGAAGGCCTATGAGCATCACGCGGTCATCGCCGTCTGCTGCTCTTTCGTCCGCACGGGCCACAAAGCCTAACTCCTGCAAAAGCGTGCGAAGATACTGGCTGGCCCGCTGGTCTCGCGCGCGCGGGTCAGCCCCTTTGCTTCCGATCTCCGTGTACCTCAAGTATCGCTGCGCGTTCAGAGTGGCCATGATGCCGTGTTTTTTGTTGAAGCCATGCCAGTGTGGGCACACGGTGCCAAAGCCCATAAGCTGCTTGTGCCTGCGACATCTTCCAAGAGGGCATGTGTCGTGCACCAAGTAGTGCTCGATGTCCCCCGCATCGTTTAAGTATCCAATGGGGCGATACTTTTCACCCCACATGGTGCAGCAAACGGGTCGCACCACAGAGCGGGCAGCGTGGTGCCTCTTGCGGTAGTTATGCGCCACCCAGCCGGCATCGGCATCGCCAGGACGCGTGCGCTGCGCTCTGATGCCGCAGCCTAAAAGAAAGTCATACAAGGCAACATCCCAAGCCTCCTGGCGCGCCAAGTGCACGGAAGCACACATGCCCAGCATGAGCTCCACGTGTGCTCGCAAGTGTGGATGCATCACACTGTCGGGCCTCAGCGTGGCCATGATTTCAGCTCCCAAAGCTTGCAAGTGGATTTGCGCTCCAAGGGCTGAGACAGGGGCAGAAAAGCCGCCTGCGTGGCCAGCAGCAGGGGCAGAAAAGCCGCCTGCGTCTGACATCCACCAAGGCATGCCGAGATTGGATTGCTCGAAAGAGGCTCGCCAGTCCCTTGAAAGCAGGACGTGCCCCAAAGTCATATCTGCAGGCACCGGCAACGGGACTTGCAAGCAGACATCCGTCTCGGAGATCACATTGTCCCGCGAAGTGTTTAGGGGCTCACCAGTGTTGTCGCCCCAGTTCACCTCCATCGCCCCGGCCGAGCATCGAATGGCCGGCAAGGCTCTCGGCAAGGGCAAAGCGCCGCTTGCCTCCAAGTAAACATCGTGCTCCATAAAGGACTGCCGCGGCGGAAGCTCCGGCAGCAAGCCGAGATCGGAAGCAGCCACATGGCGCCGCACCTGCTTCAAGTCTGCCCGGTAGCCCTCGGGGATCAAAGGATCCCTGCACATAAGCGCGTACTCTTCCGAGAAGGCAGTCTCATCAATTTCGTGCGCCACGTCCTGCTGCGCCGCCCACCAAGCCTCCCAGTCGGCAGTGTCTGGCAGCAATAAGCGGAGAGCGTTGCCTTGCCAGCAGCTCGGACGCGCCGTCCGGTGGAGCCACGTGACGTAGCGCCCTGCGAACACGCTCTTGGTCCACCAGGGACAGATGGCACCAAGTTCTCCGGAGGAAATCATAGCCGAAGCGAAAATCATCATCGGCTTTCTTGCCATGGCCGCTGAACAGCTCCTCGGCACAAGTAGCTCGCAGTGCCTGCAGCTCGGCCTTTCTTTGCTGAAGCATAGTCAAAAACTTTTCGACCAGAGCGGTTTCGGAGACACACAAGTCACGCTCCCAGCCTTGCACGAGTGCTTCTTGCTCCGGCGACAGATGCTGTCTGTATCTTTTGAGAAACATAGCACAAAAGGAAGAGCTTACATCAGCTCCCTGGTCAAGGCTTTGCAATGCCTTCACCAGGGAGCTCTTTTCTTGAGCTCGCAGCACGGCAGAGTAAGCTTGGACAAAAGCACTCAGCCTTGCAAAGCTTCGTTGAAGGCCGGCCAGAAAAGGCACAGCCTCCAACTTGGACTTGTCACAAAGCACAAACTCCCAGTCTTCTAAATGCTCTTTCTGGTCGGCATTCAACAATGCCACGTGCCTGTCGAAGAAATTCTTAGCTTGCTTCCAACGTGTGTCGGAATTCGCGCGGTTGCTGCTGACAACAGCTGACAAGCTTTGCTTCTGTAGCTGAGCAATTTCAACAGCATTCTGAGCGAAGAAGGCTTGCACTTCGACAAAGGCAGGAGCACGACGCGATGCTGCAGCTTCTTTTGCCGCAGCACTCACTTGACACAACTCAGCTTCCTTTGCAAGCAAAAAATCCTTTTCCGCAGACGCCAAGCGGTCGCTATAGCGCAGCAGGAAAACACGGCAAAAGCTCGACATTTGAAATTCCTGCATGTGTCGACTCTGCAAAGCTGCCAGCAAGCTTGGCTTGCTTGAGTATCTTATCGCCTCTGCCGTCTCTGTCAAAAATGCCTCCACGCGGCAAAAACAGCATTGAAGGCCGGCCAGAAAAGGCGCAGCCTCCAACGTGGACTTGTCACAAAGCACAAACTCCCAGTCTTCCAAAATCTGCTGCTGAGCTGGCTCCAAGCTTGAAAGTTTTCGTCTGCAGAAATTTCTGGCTCGCTCCCACTCTGGTACCTGACTGCGCCGCTTGCTGTTGAGCAAAGCTGTAAGCGTCGGCTTCTTCATTTGCACAAGCTCCTGCGAGTAGGCTGCCAAAAACGCCACCGTCTTATCAAATGCGTCTGCCATGGCGTCCGGAGCGGTCAGAAAAGACGCGCTCCACCGTGCGGGATACACAAGGAAACGATGTCACTGGCATGTGTCTGTGGAAGTATATGCGTTCTGTGGGAACACAAACTAAAAAAAAAACATCAAGAGGTTGTCCGCCTGAGCGTGATGCTGGTAGGTCGGCTGGTGACAAACAACAAACTAGAACATTAACATGTTCTCGGCCTGTGTGTGGTGCTGGTGGGAGTGCTGGTGAAAGTGTAGTGGTGGTAGTGGTGGTGGTGATGTGAGTTGCCGCTCCGCGATTGAAGCCGGGACATGAACAAACATGAACAGTGGTGGTGGTGATGCTAGTGATGCTGGTGACGAAAACCGGGACATTGAACAAACATGACATACGCGGAGCAACTGACAAGACAGAGCCGAAACGCCACACGGTCACAGCGACATTACCTCCCTATCTATCTATCTATCTGTCTATCTACCTATCTATCTGCCTGTCTACCTCTCTATCTATCTGTCTACTTGTCTCTCTATCTTTCCAGCTTTCTATCTATCTATCTATCTATCTATCTGTCTGTCTGTCTATCTATCTAGAGCGCGACTAACTCAACAGGGCAGCGTAGGATGCCTTGCGCGTTGCCATTCCAATGCGTTTTACCACTGCCAAGCTGCGTTCCATCTTAGAAATGCGCACCGCGCGCAAGCGCCACGCATTTTTTCCAAATTGGATGAAAGCCTTGCGCGTTGCCATTCCAATGTGTTTTACCACTGTCAAGCTACATTGCATCTTAAAAACGCGCACCGCGCGCAGGCGCCACGCATTTTTCCAAGTTAGATAAAAGCCTTGCGCGTTGCCATTCCAATGCGTTTTACCGCTGTCAAGCTACATTGCATCTTAAAAACGCGCACCGCGCGCAGGCCGCGTGCGATTTTTGAAAGTTGGAGCTTCCAAAAGTAGCCCGACCCTCTCAGGTTTTTACGATTTTGACTTCCAAATGTGCACCGCGCGCAGGCCGCGTGCGATTTTTGAAAGTTGGAGCTTCCAAAAGTAGCCCGAGCATGTAGTGTTTTTACGATTTTGACTTCCAAATGTGCACCGCGCGCAGGCCGCGTGCGATTTTTTGCCAGCAATTCCGACCAAAGGCTCCGCACCCGCCGCTTTACCGAAGTAACTTCTGGGCCGTCTGGAGGCTCAAAACATTGAAAAATACAGCATTTCGCGACCTTTCTAACATTTCGCACACCATGCTTCATCTTTCTTCATCGCTTCTTCATCTCTTCTTCTCTCTCTCTCTCTCTATCTCTCGCTCTGCACTGCTCTGCTTGAGTTGTCGATATTGTCGGAAGTTAGACTTCTAAACTTCCTTCGACCACTTTGTTGAGCCACAGCTATGTGTCTTGTTGTGTCAGATAGATTTCATAAAGTCCTCTAATCCTTTGCCGTTGCATTCACATCCAGAATCCTTTGACGATCATCACAGGCTTATGTTGCGGTTCGTGGCGTTGGGTTTCCCATACTTGTGATACTTGATAGCTCGTTAAGCTGAACATCAAGGATGTTTGTGTTCAACTTGTTCGATGAGGGAGGGCCGCAAGATAGCCTTCCAGACGATTTCCCCTAAACAGAAGAATCTCAAGAGGCGATGCGATTATTGTTCCTTCGTTCGGACAGCACTTCCGAACAGCTGCTAATTACTTGTGTTTTGATCATGGCCGCAAAGCTTCTTTTGTCAAAACTAGAAACCCTTCAGGCAACAGCTTTAAAAGGGGCCGTGTTTTACACAGCTCCTCAGGGAACCCATTTGCACAGCTCTCTGGCATCGAGCAGTTTTTGGCATTCTCAGCTAGCGTCGACCCTCCGGTTCGCCAGGCGACCAGCCTCGGGAAGAAGTCCGCCCTTTTGAGCCTCCGGGGAGGTGCGCACAGCGAGCGCGGCCGAGCGGTGCCGATCGTGGACCCCAAAAGTCGGAGTGGGCTGAAATGGGCGGGTGGACCCAAGGTTCTACCAATTTGAAGGCGATCCGACATTGAGGCTGCTCAGCCTTATGCTGGTTTGTCTCAGTTTGTTTTTTTCAACGCTCCAGACAGATGCCGGCCACAGTTTGAGGCATAGGCCAAACGTTAACACGGCGCACCCGTGGCCCCCTTTGCGTCTCACTCGCTTGGACAGGTGCAGTAGAACGTGTTGCGCAGGTCAGAAGCCAAGAGGGTTGATCATATCCTGACGGCTTCAGCAAAACGAGGAGTGCGATTGCAGTTCGGCGAACGATGGCGAACTGTGCCACGGTGGTTTAGTCACCTCTTCCTTACATGTCAGGATTTTTGGCAGTAAATCTGTTGGTGTACAAACTTGTCATGGTTTGTGAATTGATGAGTGCTGGAGCAGCTAGACACCGGAACATGGCGGGCCCAGACGTCGTGACGCATCGTGCCACTTCCGTAGCTTCTATGAAGCCGTGCAGTGAATAGATGCTGCTGCATTGTGATGGCTTTGAAGCTTCGGAAACCACAGACATACATTGGCATTCGTGAAGAATGCCTCATGACTCATGACATCAACGCTAGCCTGCTGCCGAGCCGTCGGAAAACCGGACATTGAACTGACAATGATTGTTGGTTGCTGTGAGGTTCAGACTTGTGCTTGCGTGTATGCCTCACATGAACCAATGATGCCCATCTCACCCCAGAGATTGAACGTAGCTTTCGAATATGTTTTGAGGGATCCCTTCAAATGTTTTGCTTGCTTTCGTATACATCCAAGGGTTTCAAGTTTCAAGTCTCAAAGTTGCCTTGCGTTCGTTTCATCACTGAGGCTCATCGACTGCAGGAGGGGCTTGCAGCCGGCACATGTCTCAGACGCTGATATGGCTGTGGCTCAAATAACCGGTACCAAAATGGAACCCTGGTAAGTGGAAACATGGACCAAAACCTGCGTAACCCCTCCTGTTTAATTTTGAGCCACACCCATATGTCGATTCAGTTTGGGACAAAAAGAGGTGTCGCTTTCATATGACTCGCCAAAGAGACTGAGTTGGCGAGAGGAAAAGTGTCTCCTTTCTCTCGCTCATCTCCCTCTAGTACCCCAACTCTTCATCTTGGAAACAGAGGTTTGGGTGATGGGGAGATACAGGTGAGGAAACCGCCCGCCGCCATGCCAGAAGCCATTTGGCGGCTGGTAGGAGATGGCATAGAATGGAAAAGAGATAGCCATGTTCAGTCCCGTCCCAGTTGAGGGACGGGGCGCGAGCGTAAGAAAGAGCTCGGGCACATGTCATATCTTTGACCGGCTTCTTTTGGCCGGGCTCTCTTCATCCCACGGGCTCGCCTTTACCATCCCTAATTGAGAGCGTGTAATGATGGATGACGAGACAGGGATGATCAAGGAAGAGTCCCGTGGGCTGGCCACTAGAGATGGGACGGGGATTGGAGAGACAAGGCTTCGTCCTGGGCTTTGATCCATCCCTGGATGTAGATCAGAGGTGTTTCGCTTTGAGCAGAAAAGTAGATCAGTTGCTCGTTGGTGAACCAATCACCCAGATCAGGACACTAGGTTACCCCAGCAGTGCAAAAAAACACGGTTTTGGCTTTGAGCATGGGCATATGATGGCAATATTATGGCAGATTCATGACCCATTGCAGACTTTGTTTGAGCCAAGCGATTCTCCCATCAATATTGCGAGCGCAGCAAGGTAAACATGAAACATGGAAGCCAACCATCACCATGTCCAGAGGAATCTCCTTCTTTCTGGGGGGGGGTTTGCGGGTTCTGAGGCGACAGGTACTTGTCCAAGAGCAACCGGCAATTCCTGCACCGCCTCTTCACCGCCAAGGCTGGATTTGAGCCGTAGCAAGTCGGCACACAGCAAGACCTCGAGGAGGAAATTCCTTGGTTGTGGTAACCATGGGGCAGAACCTATCCATTTTGGGGTGGATGAACATGGATGAACATCCATGTGCCGCCTATTTTGATGTTTGTCGGGGGTACAGGGTTTTGACCCACAGCCATGTAATGAATACTGGAACTGTTAAGAAGAATATCCATTGGTTTGGAACAAGTATCTGTTATTCATGTTGGCAAAAGCAGGAAAAAGCGGGTGTTTGGCGCCACTTGTGTGAGGAGGCCATGGAGCGAACTTGATGTCTCAACATTGTTGATTGGGGCAAGTATCCCAAAGTGGCAAGCCTCCATCCGAACCATGCGAGTCAGTCGCTGTTTGTTTGCACATGCATTCACAAATCAACGGTTTGCAACACGCATGCCACCATTTTCTTTTCCTGAACATGAAACGCCGAGCCCACAGGAAGAGGCAACTGGGGCATCCATGTCCACGTCGACATTTTGCTTTGCTTGCTTTCTATCCTTTCCTTGCTTCCTTTCTTTCCTGCCTTGCCTGCCTGCGGGCCTGCGGGCCTGCGGGCCTGCGTACTTGCTGTTCTCCTGGTTTTCTTGTCATAGGTGTCCGATTAGTTGAGAAATGAAAGGCCCCGGTAGACCTATTTGTTTAATCATCTACCAGGGCCATCTATTTCCAAAAAGGAGACCTATGTTTTTTGGTTTGTGTGGCTTGTGTTGGCCATCTCTAGCCTGCAAATTTGGGAGTGTGCAGCTGCCAGGGTTTCATTCTTTGACTACCCCAGGGTAGACTGAAACCCAGGGGTGGTTCGCACCCCCGAAAAGGAGAACCCCTGGGTTTACTTTGGCGCATTTTGCTTGGATGTTAGGACTTTAACTTTTTGCCAACAAATGGGTTTTCCATTAAACCACTAAAAGTTAAACATTTAAACGGGGGAGCAGAAAGCAACCGCGTTTAAGTCTACCCTGGGGAAGTCGAAAAGTGGAACCCTGGTGCAGCTGGCATGTTCCATGAGCCTCCAGAAGTCAGGCATTGTCCACGGAGTCCGGGGCGGTCCAGGCGCGACTGGCAAGGCTGAAATTGGAGGAAGAGTTCCAGACCCCAGTCTTGCCTGTTCAATCAGGTGGTTGGTTGGTTGGCTGGTTGGTGGGTTGGTTGGGTGGTTGGTTGGTTGGTTGGTTGGGTGATTGGTTGGTTGGTTGGTCGGTCGGTTGGTTGGTGTCCTGTTGGTTGCGTTTCCTCTTCAATCGTGTGTCCTTTCTTCCATGGGAACGGTGTATCAATCAGGGGCTCACGCCTTTCATCAGACATCAAGAGATGACATGGGAAACCGAGCATCATATTGTCAAATCAGCATGGACCCGAACCACATGGTAGCTTTCATGCTGGTCCCTGTGAAAAATGTGCCATCATGGATGCCTGGGCTTGACACGCCGCAAGAAACGCCGCTTACCAACTTCCCAATGCTGCGAATGTAAAGTGGCAAGCATCGTGGTTCCCTAAAGCAGAATTGCTTAGCCTTCACCTGGTAGTTGCAGATGGTTGTTGCTCAGTCCCAATTTTTCTGGGTGCATCCTGGTGAGTAGCTTGAGCTCTTGACAGATCGGAACCAAAGATACCCAGGGCCCTGGGTCAAGGGTCAATTGCCAAGTCGGGGTGCCACATTTCCTGGAGAGCTCAGGGGTCAACAGGTACAACATGAATGAATAATAAGGGATGCCCTACGAACTAATTCCGTTGTTGTTGGGTTTTCCTTTTTTTTCTTTTTCGGTGGAGCTTGATGTTGATGCCTTTCACTGTGCACTATAAAAGCTATGCCCTGTGAGATGTACGCTTGTACATGCTTCTACAGCAGCCTTTATTTGCCGCCAATGATGAAAGCAACCAATCCTTGCAGTTTTCGAAGCAGAACCTTCCAGAGCCAAGTTTGCTTCATCGGCATCGGTTTCATACATGTGGTGTTGTGAGGAAAGTTTTGCACGGTGCCCTCTCCCGATCGACATGTTGTTGTCGCTGGTTGAGGGTGAAGATGGTTTTTGATGAATGGCACTTCTCAGCATATATTTACATCCAGACACCAGAATCAAAGGAAGCCTTTTTTTCCGAAAACTGGGTGTTGTTATAGCGTTTGTCCAAACAAACTTGTAAATTTATGTCTTGGAAGGCTGCCGAGCTGCAGCAACTTGCATTTTGTCATGCAAACCTCAATTGTACTGCAAGACAGCCTGCGGATAAGTGCTTGAAGTCCCAGCCAGCGCAAAAAAACCAAGTAGGTCAATGATTTGCCAAGACTTGCGTACACGGTTCGCGATCTGCGATCCAGCTTTTCTTTTGGAAGACATCGACATCGACAATTTTGTATCTAGCATGCCTGGCAGGCCCGTGGTGTGGTGGAACAGCTCGCAAAGGTCGAGTCCAGCATCGAAGATGACTTGAGCCAGGCGCCGCTCCGCAACCAGTTGGCGCCGCTCCGCAACCAGTTGATAGCTTTGCGCTTGCTATTTCTTGATATTCAGGATATATTTTTTCGCGGGCGAAAATCGGACTTCTCCGGAAAGATTCGGAGTTTGGAAAACTGTCGATGAGGTACCCACATGAGATGCCACAGTACCCGGAGGTACAGGATCGAGCTAAGGACCCCACCAACTTCTATGGATGGTGTGCCCTGGGGGGGAAGACTTTGGGAAGACTTTGAATACCTGTTGGATTGATCTCATCCGTTTGACATTTCTGCTGTGGGGGGCGAGTAGATCGCCCCTTTGCTTCTCGGGATTTCGTCAAGGGCTGTTTGGACAGCGTTCCTCGGTAGCCCAGGCGAAGTTGCTAGCCTTACATCGTCTTGCGGAGGTCTCTCGGACATGTCCAAACCTAAAACTGGGCCAAAGCTCAAGACTAAACCAGCAAACCCCGCGCCAGTTCCGGATAACCTGAGCCCTGAACCTATACACTAAACCTAAAAACCGTTGAGCTAAGAAACCCTGAACGCTAAGCCAGGAACCCGTCGCCAGTCTCGGATCCTAAACCTAAACCCGAAGCCTTCAGCCGGAAACTCAGCCGCGAAATGAAATATCTCACATGGAAGAAGGTCAAAATTCAAGCTGAGAGCCAGAGGCGCAATCATCTCCCCCCCCATCTAATTTCGATCCGCGCCGTCCGTTACAGATCCGTTTGGCGGGGGTACGGATGGCTTTTGGACCCGTCCATTCCTGCGAAAGGATTTCTGGCTCAGGACGTGAAGAGTGAGGCAACTGCTGACGACAGCTTCAAGAAGATGTCCACCCTGAAGGCAAGGGAAAGGGCTCCGAAAGGACAACGAGTGTGTTGTTTGCTTGTGAAAGAAAGAAACGACGTACACGGATTGTAGCCGACAGGGGGATTTTGGTGAAAAGGAAGTTTTCCAAATCACAGTGGCTAGTTTCAAGAACCAAATGAGATGGGATTTGCTTCGGCAACTCATAGCAGGCTCACCCGTGATGAAGGTCCCTTGATTCGGGATTCCTTCCATCAGGTTTGTGATTGCAGTGCGCGTTATGTGGGGATGACGTAGTTGAGCAAGCGGTATTCCAACTCCACCCTGCAACAGGCTGTTTCAATACCCAGCACAATTTCAACGCCTGGCCATCGCGCCCGATTCCCACGGCAGTTACGACAGTAAGATTGCCCTCTAGGGGCAGTCGCCCCCCCGTCAGCTTGGCAGTTGCATCATGCAAGCGTGCAGCCGAAGCAACACGCAGATTAGATGCCCTTGTCCCCAGTTTCCGCATTGGGCAGGCGGGAACGATCAGGTCCCAGGATTCGCGTATTGCATCGAAGCTATTTGAAGCTTGCAATGTGTGGTATGCACTGCGAGGGGGCGGTCCTTTTTTCGAATTCGCGGATCTGGCCCAAGTAAGCGATGCTCTCGCCTTTCATTTCCTCCGTAGCATGGCGGGGCTTTGCGTAGTGTATGCTTGTAAGCGATAAATCAGTTAAGCTTTGTAGTTCAGGCTGTTTGAAAGTCAATAGTGGAGGACACAATACCTGGTGCCACCAGTGAAGTGCTAAATCCCTTTGCAGGGACTTGAAGTTGGGCCCAGGAAGAGTTCTGCTGAAGCAATGACTTGTTTCTCTCGCTTCCTGGAATCTGTGGACAGGACTGGAAAGAAGCCAACGGCCGAGTTTCAAAGTTGCCTGGAATTCCACGCGCCGTTACTTACACATCCGCTTGGGCTATTTGGCCAAGCTCATGCACGCTTGAGAAGTCAACCTACGAAGCTATTCTAGATGTGAGTCCAGATGGCCAACATGATGAAGGCTGTTGACCCTGCTGTTGCCGTTGTTTTCTCACAAGTGTGGGTCTCTTGAGACGCATTCTTGGACAACATCCAAAGAACAGATGTCCTTCTAGATCAGTTTGACTGAAAATAGGTGTGCACTGGATTCAGTTTGATTCTAACCACGTGCCAGCGCCATTGATTTGTCTGAAAGGGCACGGCACCGGGGCTTCAGAGTGGTGCTGGCAGGAAGAGGAGAAGGAGACCGCAGCCGCACTTTTGGCTAAGCCCCGCCCTGAGAGCGGGCTGTTCGCACTTGGCGAAAAGTGGCCTGGGACCAGACTCTTGGAGACGAGCGAGCATCATTTTGCCTGTGTGAGGTGCCAATTGGAAAGCAAGGTAATGCCGTTCTTGTTGAGCAAGGGGCACTACTATCCATGAAAAAGCATGTGATGCGCGTGTTGGCGCAACAGCATGTGAGGGAGAGCATGTAAAACGATATCAATATCATCCACAAGCGATTGCCCTTTTTTGATGAGTGTCTAAGAACTTCAAGAATTTCTGCTTAACCGTTGCACGTTCTTCTCGCGGCAACGAGCTGTAAAACTCCGCCCGCTGGGAGTCAAAGAACTGCAAAGGGCTACCAAAATCAATAGCATGCATCCGAAGCTGCTTCATATCATGTTTTTTGTTGGTCGTCGCTCACATGCCCCTGGTTTCAAGCTTTGCTCCTTTGTCCAAATTTAGTGGTGGATAGCCATCTTCCGCATGCGCGCTCGCGGAACATGTATGGCACCTATGGCCTGAGGCCCTTAGAAAGGGCCTGAGAATCCCTGAGATGTGTTGGCACATAGTATGGCACCCGGGCCTTGAGAAAACGCTGCTACATTTGTTAGGACAATTCCCTTTCAACATTTGCTGCTTGCAGCGGCGCGATAGCGCGTGTTATTTCGGGGTTTCCCGAGAGAAGTGATCGACTCGGATATATTCTGGTTGATTTCAAGTCCCAGTGTTCACAAGACTACGGCTTGGTTTGGTTGGAAATTGAGAAAAGACACACGTCACATGCCATTGAGGGCGTGTGTCCAAACAGGGGGACCCCAGACTGATGTCCCTTCAAGCCGCCTCGAAAAGGAACTCTCCAACGAGACACCTGTGTATGATTGTCCACATTGACATACCTTTCAACAATGCTGTTTCATCGATATCTCGTTCGGGCGGCGAGCGTTTTGCAGGGGAATGTTTGGTCACTCCGAGCGTTCCCAGGTTTGAGTAAATTGGTTCACCCTTGATATTTCCAGGAGGTTATGAAAGTCAGGAACTGGGGACCTCGAAAATTTTCAGGGAGGGGACCTTTCAAGGAACTGGGGATGGTCCTTCGGTTAAGGACTTTTCCATTCGGTTCTGCCGCCTCGAAGGTGACTTCGACCAAAAATCCCGAGAGGAACATTTCAATCTGGCACTTGCCAATCCGCTCATTCGCTGGATCGAGGCTCGAGAAGGAGCATGCCGCTCGAGGCCAGGCCATTGCCAATTCCAAGGAGGAGCTGGAGTCGCTGAAGGCGCAGGCGGGTCGAAGCCTCGAAGCCTCGAAGCCTCGAAGCCTCGAATCCAAGTCTGGCGGCGGCTTTTCGGCTCCGGGGGTTTCGGCTGAGCTGCGAAGCGATGGGTTGGTTTCATGAGGTGTGTTCGAGGGAAGCCATGTGAGTCACTTGCTCAAAACCTGGCATTAAAATGGTCTACTATTTCTGGCTGGGACTGCCCTTTCCTAACCTTCATCTACCTGGGTTTTGATTGTGACTCATGTGCCATTCGCTTGAGCATCGGAGTATTTGTTGCCTTCTGTTGAAAGGGGAAGAGGCAGATGCAGTGATGTCTCAGCGATGTATGACGGCTGGAGGAAGATATGCACCTCACTTGTGAAAACAGCACCTTGCGGTCGGCGGAGTCCTTTTGGGGCAATATTCATGGTTGTTGCTGAGAAGCATTTTACATGTTTGCTTGTCGTGGCTCAGTGGAAAATCCCCACTCAACTGCTAAAAATTCAATGTTTGCTCCCCTTCCAACATCAACCAAGTATTGGGTGGCAGATTCCTGCCAACTGATGCGCAGAGCTCGGCGCAGGGTTTGTGGCCGAGTAAAGTTTGATGCATGCGCGGACGGTGCATGTCTAGGTCCCCCAGTAGTGCCCTTTTCGGGGGAGGATTCCCCCGTACTAAAACAGACTAGGTACCCTCATTCTAACCTCTCTAGTGGAGGACTTAGTTTTTGGAGGGTGGTTTCCATTTCAGCCACGACGCTCGAGCCTTGCCCTTTTGAGTCCTCAGGATGATTGGCTCCCTCGTGGATCTTGTGGACCGCTCCTTGCAACAAATATTTGATCACTTCAGGTTTTTCTCCTTTGGTTTTCCTCAAGAGGCCCACACATTTACGAGGCACGCTCAAGACATGCGGGTGTGGCTCAAAATTCACCAGGAGGGGCAAACCGCAGGTTTTGGTCCATGTGTCCACTTACCAGGGCAAGCCATTTTGGGATTCCGGTTTTGGAGCCACAGCCATGTTTGTTTTGCCAGGGCAAAAGGCCTTTGCGAGCTTCACAGCTTGACGTTTCCCCGATTACCTGCCAGCATGCGCTAGGTGGAAGCCGATGAGAAGCTGATCCCTGAAGTGCAGACGGCGCTGGAGGTGGGCTTTCAATCGCCGGCGTTGCTCGCGGGTTTTTTCTTTGTCGAGGCTACCCCTGGCTCGGGGTTGGAAGGGAAAGGAAACCAAAGGGACACCCAGCCTTTTGAGGGCACCCAAATGAGCCGGAAAGAAGGCCTCAGATGGTCGCTGTCCTTTGAGGAGTCCCTTTTTTTTTGCAGGGGTGAGCACCCGGATCGAAGCGGTTTGGAGTGGAGGAAACCAACCATTTTACCTGCGTCGAATGTCTTGATGGCCTATCAACTCCGGGATTCCTCCAGAGAAAGATTATATGCACTCAACAGGAACCCCTTTGATGAATCCACCGAACAATGTAGGAACACGGTTTTCTATGCTCCACAAAGAGAGCACACAGTACAGCAAAGCAGAGTCTTTGCTTGGCTGTGAGTCAAACCTGATGTCAGACACAACCGAACCTAAGTTTGTTTTTGCTCTGACGAGGCTTCAAAGATGTGGGATGTGTTTTCTCAGATTGTGTGTGTGTGTGTGCTTGCCAAAGCACTTGGTTTGTCAACATCGGCTGAGAGTGAACTAGATAGAAAGGAGACCCTTCGCGATCCTCTAATTCACACTGTCAGCCTTTCGGACTTTGCAAGTTGCGCCAATGATTTGCTCATGAAACAAATGCCAACACAACATCCATCCTTCTACAGTTCCTATGTTTGACACTAGCCCGGGGTCCTTTTTAGGTGTGATTGAAAAAAGATAGGATCCACTGATTTCAGATTGGTGCCGTTTCTTCCATTTGCTTAAGAACATGTGTGTGTTTTCCCCTTGTTGGTTTTAAAGGGAATCTATCACTACTGGGAATATTTTTCCCCATTGGTCCTAACCAAATGGAAGGTTTGAACCGTTTGAAACATCCTAGAGTCTCCATAACCCTTAAAAAATGGGTCTCAATGACCCCTTAATTTGGGGTAATGACCAACCATTTTTTAGGGGTCAGAAGGAGACTCCAGGAAGTCTACTGCCAGTCACAGGGTTCCACTTGTTCACTACCCCATAGACTAAAACCCAGAAATGGTTGATTTGCCCCAAACTGTCTTGGGGTAGTGAAAACGTGGAACCCTGGCCAGTCATCTCTCAAGGCCACCGAGGCCACGTCTGACTAGGACAAGAAGTCCCAGTTCGACGAGCGATCCTCCTACCGCTTGGGTGAGCTCAAGGCGATCGGCGAGGCGAGATCGGTTTTTGCGGCGCTGCGTTTGGGAGGTGTGTCGTTTTGGGTTACTGGGGTGGAATTAGGACACATTTTACCATTTTACCAGCAAAGGGAAGCAAGCAATAGAACATACATGCTGTAACTGGGCCTAAGTCTAATCATGGTGTCTTTTTAGGTTACTTTGGTTAGAAAGAGATGGTTTAGCTCGGTGTGATTCCATTTACCAGTGGATCTCTTCTGACAAAAGGTCAAGACAGTGCTCGGACATAGTCGTATCGCCTGTGTCTCTGTCTCTTTTGTAGTCCGGCGTGACCTAGTGTGGTGCGGTGCGGTGGGGTGTGGTGAGGTGTACGTAGGGTGGTGTGCCATCGCCTGCAGCAATTCCCCAGAGATGGCGGCCGCCATTGACCCTCAACACAGTCAGAGTGTCTGTCACCAATTCCCCAGGTGCTGAAGGAGGGCAAAAGAAGCGCGTACGGAATGACACAGAATAAACCTGCAATTACATTGTCATGGCATGGGGACATGAAAAACCAGAATCCACTGGCCAATCTGGTTTCTGTTGTGTCCCTGCACCCGGTCTATGCCCACCAGGCCGCCCTGTCCGAATTCATGGAGGTTATGAAGCCCAAACAGGTTGTCACCAGCCTTGTAACTGAACAGAGGCAGCCTACGGTAAACTCGGGAACCGTAATTTACCGCAAAAGTCAGCGGGGTTCGGTGTGGTTGAATGTGAAACCACTTGCAATATTCAGCTTTGGGCGGTTTTTTTCCCCCTCTTGTTTTGTTTTCGCGACAAGCGGTTGGTTTGAGGCTGTCTCCATGCTGACGGATGACGCGAACCGCGATTTGTTCGCCTCCTCCTTCAGCTTTTTGCAGCTTTCCTCTGTCAGCGCCAGCGCTAGAAAGGCGGGATGCGACATCAACAGGATCATGAGAAAAAGAGGTATACGGATCCTGGTCAACCTATCACATGGTTCATGTGGCTGTGGTTGTCAAGACCGTGTTGGGATCCATTTTGGTTGGTAGGTGAATTTACCACCCATTTTAGAACTGTTTTAGTGGGGATTGGGATGTTCACTGGGGGTAAGGGATTTTGACCCGTGGCCATGTGTCAGTTTAAACACAAATGGCACCATTTGCAGTTGATGGCAATGGACTGGATTCCAGCAAGACAAATGCAACGCAATGGTTGCTTGAACTTTGCAGGCGCGGCTGCCTGCTGCTGTCATTCAGTCGCATGACGTTGAATTTGCACACTCAAAGGAATGGTGAGCCCTTTGACACGGGTTGGATATGTTTCAATGCGCCGATGGTGCCTTGGATATGCCCCGGATCGATGCACTGCAGGCCTTGTCCACTGCGTACAAGGCCTCGCAGGCAGGCAATCTAGCCATCCCCATGCCATCCCCAGCAGTTGGCTATGCAAATGGGGTCGCCACAAATTGGAACAGGTCACATTGGTGTTGCTCAAAAAAGTGGTTGATTTCTTTTTGGTGGAAGACCCACCAACCGAGGGTCCACCACTTTTAAAGGAAAGTGAGAGGCTACGGAGACCACGACAACCATTTCGGAGCGCAGGACCAGCGGGTCTTTGCCCTCGACATGCTGCTCCGTACGCAGGAAAGGGAATGCTGGATCTTATGTCATTTAGGATGATATGCCGCTGAATTATGAATTTTACCAGGGAACCGTACCACCTGACAATTGGTTAGTGGACACTAATCCCCCCAAAAAAATGATGTCCACCAAAGGGTCCCCCACACCCAATTGTTTAGTCAGACGTAAAGAATCATGTTGTAAGTCTGCTTTTGGGTGTGGCAAAAGTTGTGCAAGGAACGCATCAGCAAGCTGGCCCAACCGCTGCTGACATGCTTGTCAGCACGTTTGATAGGCAGTGGTTGATTTCCTAGTCCGCATTATAGCAGATGATCCAATACAATTTATCCATACCTCGATTTGAGTTCAGGCAGTATGACTATGTTTATTTTCTTAATTGCATTTGCTATGTTGCTTTTTCTATTGTCGCACTCCAGAAGCGGCACTGACATAAGAGCTCGCGAGTAAATTGCACGGGCCCGCCCCATGGGCACAGGATGCGTCAGAGGGTGGCTTTGACCAGGCCCGGGCAAGAACGTCGACATCCGTGTTTGGCTCTTCGGATGTGTCCCGAAGTATTCGGGGCTTAAGGAGGGACATGATTCTGCACCCATGAAGGACAATTTTCTCGGACCATCCTTGGTCAGTCCTTTCAGCGTCCAGATTTGCGGATGTTTTTTGTGGAGGGACCCCCAAAATGGTGTTTTGTTTTTCTGTTGGCCTCAAAAGATAAAATGGTAGTTTTCCTGTTGGTTTCTTTTAAAGCCACAATAACCCCCTCAAAAAGAGTGTGGATTTTGCTGTGCCCCAGCTATGACTTGATGCTTTACCTTTCCTGCCGATTGCAGGTGTAGGACAAAGAGTCAAGACTGATGATCCATTGCCAGCGAAAAGGGCGCGTGCCATGTTTTTAGGGTACCATTTTCAGGTGGGTTTGGAGGCAAACCAAAGGGAAAATCACAATTTTGGAGGTTGCCCTATTTTTGAGACACCCGTATTGCTCTCATGATTGTTGGAAAGCCAGGTGCCACGACCGCTCACTTAAGAACTTTTGCCGCGCATGAGCACGGAACCACAGAGGTAGTCGCGAAAATCGAAGACATGATCACCTTGCTGAAGAAAGAGGATGCAGATGAGCTGAAGAAGAAGGAAACTGCTCGGTCACAAGTCTCGATCACCCTAGAGTCGGACCTAGGCGACTAGCAACTTGTTCTTTGGCTTGCAGGGGACCGCAGGTTTTAGTCCATGTGTCCATTTGCCAGGGTTCCATTTTGGGTACCTACTTTTTACCCACAGCCATTTGTTGTTGGCGTGTTTTTGCCCACGAAACTTGACCCGATGCGGCACAGAGCACTGCCTATCAGCTGAAAAGAGACGAACGGCGGGACTGCCTGAATCGGATTGGCAGCTCCTGCAGTATCCAGAAAACAGTTCTGATCCCCCTAGTTGCTTTTGCAAACGTGTTACTCTTTGACAAAAACCACATTCCACATGCATAACTAAGGCTATATGTTATTTATATATACGTGTACTACGCGCATGAGCAGCGGGTTTTAATCAAATGAAAGGGTTTATACAAAAAGGGAACTGCATGTACTTTGCAGAGGCAATCCTGGTCGGAGGCGTAGGCTCGCGTAGGCTTCTGCGCGCACGCTGTTGTGTCAACCCTCGCGTAGGCTTTTCGCGCAGGCGTTTTCAACAAATCCTGGCTCAATGCTGTTTGCCAAGTATAACGGAGCTAGCTTCTTTGCCTTCCTTCTGTTTGTGGCATTCGCGTAGGTTTTCAAGGCAATTTGGAGTACGTAGACCTTTTCTAGCAGCCAGATCCTTCAACAGATGCGGGTTGTCAATTGTATTGCAAAGATTATCTTAGAGCTGGAGCTGCCAAAACTGCTCTTGTACTGAAAAGTTGCGATTTTCCAGTTGGAGCTGCCAAAGTGCACTTCAACACTTGAACTGAACATCTGCCCGCGTAGGCGTCCGTATAGGGGTCGAAATATCGGAAAAAACATTGCTCACATGGTGTTACATGCAATCAAAGCAACGATGGCTCATGTTTCTCATGTTTCTTCAGCATTGCCGGATTTGTCCCACATCAATTTACATGCTCTCCTCGAAGCCGCGAAATACTGGCTGCAGCATGCTTACCCTTTCAAGACGCGCATGCCTCCTTACAGCACACTGTTTCAAAAGGAGATAGAGCTGCCAGCGCAGGATACATGCTGTGAATGGACGAATTCCATTTCGCGCCAACTAAGAGGCTCTAAAGGGATGATTCCCCTGTAAGTACCAACGAACAATGGTTTCGCATGGTTCCCAAGTAATGCAGGATTTTGTCCATCCACAGTAGGTGTCAACTTTTAGTTAGTTTGTTTGAAACAGTTGGGGCCCTGGTTTACCTTGTGGTTCAATCATCTACCAGAGCAGTCCATTTTCCAAACAGGACACCTATGAGGGCACGCCTTTCCGTTCAAGCAGACACCCTTCAGGACAGTTGCCTGGCCAACAAGAAGACTGACGAGGCGAGCAAGAAGGCTCGGATCAAAACGAGTCGGCCAAGCGAGCGCTTGAGGAGTCCTATCTCAAGGCAGGCACCATAAATCCTTGCGTGGCTTTAAGTAGCCCATGAAGGTAGAATATGAGCATCCTGTTGATTTTTCTGATTTGGTGCTTGGATTAGAATGAATAAAAAATGTGTATATATATATATATATAGAGGCAACTCCCCCCTCAGGACCCTGGTTTTGGCGCCTGTTAGTGATGATAAATCTAAAATCTAGAGATTTAAATTCTCGAGATCTCCGGTTTTGGGCCCTAAAGCCTCATAATTTGGAGCCCGGAGTCCTCCGAAATGTTCCAATATGAGATCCTTTCCAAATAGGATTCGACTTCAACTAGAATGGGAATTGTGAATAGAATTTAGTAAGGATATAGTTTTCCACAATGTGTTTTACGGCCAAATATAACTTAAATAAATCAATTCCTTCCCAAATAGGCGTTACATCAAAATGTAAGTCTAGTTTCGGGTAAAACCCAATTAATCTTTAGCTTCAAAAGAAGATGCGGTTGTTGCCAAATAAAATTTATGCTAACGCAAACATACTTCAGTTAGCTTTTGATATCAACTAATTAGAAGCTACTTCTCAAATATAGATCGTATTAAATATGGCTAAACATTTAAGGGGCTCCTACAAGGAAATTCGACATGCGATTTGTTTATTTGCATCATGGCCCTTTTGTAGCATAAGAAAGGTCCGAAATTAAACTTGTTCGACGGTGAAAAGTGCAAGTGTCAAGGGACTAGATGTTTAACTTCTAAAACTATTTCGCAACAGGAATAGCAGCTAGACCAGTTGCATTTACAGTCTTATTTGGAGGGAATCATAATTCATTCTATCTCAAAAAGCGGAGGGAGTAGATGAGCACAGGTGGACGAATCGTCCATCCTGGCCAACCCCAAAACACTTTCAGATTGTTCTAGAACCTCGAATGTGTATGCTACAGCTGGACTGAAGATTCAAGATTGAACTCGTTCACAGAAAGCTTTTCCGAGAATCTTGTCCTCTCACTTTGAATCCAGCCGTTGCTAGTACTTGGAGGGTTGATGACTGCAGGTGCGCACACTTGGTTGCGGAAGTTTGTATTGAAAGATTCCCAGAAAGATTTTCTCAGATTCTTTAATCCTGAACCCCATATTGCTTTTCAGTTGTTTGTTTAAAACAACACACACACACACACACACACACGCGCGAGTTGTTCCAAAATTCTGAGATCCGTGCACACTCCGTCGGATGGCAGATGTTGATATCATTGCTTACATTACATCTGAATGTATATATGTATATACACATATCCTGGGTTTTCCCAAATGGTTGTGAGTCTGACACAGACTGATTTTGTGCAGGCTTGTGCTGCTCGGGCGGTTTCATTGCGTAGGCCTGCCTGCGCCTTGTGTGCCAGGCAAATATTGTTGCCGATGGATTGGGTGTTTTCCTTGTGTGTGCACTCAACTGTAGTGCCTGCGACGAGGCCTTCTGATGGAATGTCGCTGGCCTTCGGTCTCATTTGGATTCGCCGCTTGAGGAAGTCATGGCCCCAAAAGGTTAACCTTTTGGTTCTAGGTCCTTTGGGCAACTGAGTTTATGTTCGGTTTAGTATTGGGTCAATTGAAAGTACTGGGGGGTAGGGTCGGTTTTGGACTTGGGCGGAAGCTTCGGCGTGTGACTTCTCCCAACATCCCACCAACTTTGCTGACGTATCCAAATCAAACCAGCTTCAACATGTTGGGTGTGTTTTCACACATAATGGTGCTTGCACCAATGTTAGGCTGCGTGCTTCCCAAGTCCGTTCCCATGCGATCAACTGCTTTGCAGGTGTCTGTTGGTCGGCCTTGCAGGGTGCACGTCTTGTTTTCTCGGGTTTCAGTTTGTGGTGGGGGGATTGACAATGAAGACCTGGAAGAATTGTTTTGGTGATGTCGCGCCCGTTTTGGTGTTCCTTTTGTTTGGAGGGGGGCGTGATGATTCATCCAGCGTTGCCACTACCTTCTGCTCGGGTTCCCACCGGAGGCATCCGAGAGGTCCCTTGAGGATCTCGAGACCAGCATCTCTTTCAGCAAGGCAGTGGCGACTCGATCCTTCGCAAAAAGTAGGTGGCATCGATTTCTAGTCGCCTCTTCCCAGCTGCTTGACAACAACCTCCCCCGAACACAAGCATCTTCGCAGGAATCAAATTTAGTGTCACTCGGGCCAGTGATGTGATTGGGGGCTTAGGTGATCATCACACCCAGGGTCAATAAGATTAAGTTCAAGCTCCAGAAAGCATGGGATGCCTGCCGAAGGAGATTCCTCCACTCCAGGGACACATTGGTAGGGTCATTGATCGGCTATGATTGGCCCATGAGAGCTACCTTCTGAGAATGGTACATCAGATAGCACCCAGATGCTGCAGGCTCATGCACCAAAGAGTTTGATGCATCAATCGCTAATGCAATTACTGCAGGTAGGGCAGAGTTTGTGCTTGGTGCAATAGATTATCCTCACGCCTTTCTACCCTTGAAGCCAAAGAGCCAGCATAGACTCCAGAGTCCAGGGTCTGGAACATAAATCCGCCCGACCAGCACACGCGCAGGGCAAGCTGGAGGAGATTGCAAACCAGATGCAGGTGAAGAAGGACGAGGCCGCGCCATAGCGCTCGCTGCAGCGCTCTAGCGCCGACGCCAAAACACATGCTTGGGTTCTCAAAAATTGCCGAAGCCACTCAGCTCACTTCCCTGAAGCATTCGCTTTGTTCATTGGTGGCTTAAGATTGTAGCCTCCTGGTAATTGAGACATGAGCACTCCTGCAAAGCTGAGCTCGAGGTGAATTAGAGAACGCTATCGCTGCATTTGACTAGTGGGGATTGCAACTGCTTGGTGCATGCCCGATCAGTGCTGCTGTTGCCTGTATGTCCTTTTGGAGCTCGGTGAATGGTGCCGCTGTCTGTGCCCTTCTCAAAATGGAGGAAAACAGGGCACTCCCCTTGGACTGTCCAGTAGAGGTTTGGGCTTGCAAGCATGAGGAACCATGATTCAATTGTTCACAACTCTGGGGGACGTTTTGATGCCGAAAAGATGGTTCCAACATCAGAAGTGATGATGGCACCTCAAATGCAAGTTGTTTTTTGCGCCCCCCCCCCTCCCCGGCTTGATTGCCAGAGAGAGGTGTGCCTCTCATCCACCGTGCTCAGATTGCAGCTGTGGAGTCACAACTGGCTAAGGCACGGACTCTGATGTTCGATGTTCGGACGATGGAGTGGCCTTAGGTCTGCGTTTCACCGAAGAACTTGCGTTTGTGATGATGGCTAGTTCCTTTTCGTACCCCTAAAACTAATATTAATGCATTGTGTAACCACTGCATGCTGACTGAGAAGCACAGGCAGGGGTTGTCCAACGTGTGTTTTTCGTCAGACGCTGGTTTATGTTTGAGTATTGGCCCGGCGTTCGTGGATGTGCGAGCAAGCCTCGGCCAGCAGAGGCATTGGAAGTGCGCGATGCAGAGAAAGCGGAATTTACGAAGGCCGCGAATGAAGACAAGGCGAGCGGTTGTTGCGTTTGTCGAATTATCCCTGCAAAAAAAGAGGAATACAATTTGACACGTTAGGCTTCTTTTGAGCTAGTTGAATGGGTTCTCAGAGCTGAGGGATCATGGATTCAGGTTTTTTTGCCTAGCAATTGCAGCGACATGGGGCATGTTCTCGTTTTGTGCGGATTGAGAACTGGTGTTGACACATTCTTTATTTGATCTTGGTGGCATGGCTCCGGCATAGGGCTGACAGGACACTCAGACGTGAGGACACAGCTCTAGGGCTTGATTCCCCATTCTTTTCAACCGTCGCTCTTGTCAAAAACCAGCCGCTTTCAAATGTTCCCTAGGTTTCAAAGGAGGTTTTCCAGAAAGATCCGGATCCCTCGAAAGAATGGAAATGGAACCCCTAGAACAGCTGGTAGACAACGTGGAGCTGCCGCTTTCGATGTGACATCCGTGCGGAAGTGACCACATGCAGGCGGCCATTGAGCTCCTGAAGCAGGCCGCAAGCCGCGAAGCGATGGGCGCTCCATTTGTGTACATCTATGAGTGCTGCAAGGTTGACCCAGCATTTTCAGCATTTCAATCAACCCGAAAATTGGTTTTGTGTGTGGGGGGAGTGCCGTTTCCGAGTGGAAGACATTTCCGCCAGAAAGGAAATCGACCAGTTGGCGCCATGCGGGGTGTCCATTGCAGGCTGGCAAGAAGATCAGCGACTTCTACGCCAGCAAAGCCAGCCTGGCTCAGAAGCAGCGCCCTCGTTGGGATCCCTGCGATGACCCAGATTTGTTCATGACCAATTCATTTCACGTTTTGGAGCTGAAGTCACGGCTGACAGAGGTAGCTGTAGTTGGCCACTGGAAATCGACGCAGAGGAAGCCGCCCAATTCAGGGGCTACAACAGGTGAATTAGTTCGTTGTTTTCACAAAACGTGACTTGACGATGACGCACTATGTACTCTTGGGCTTTTGCGCAATCCACTCGGCCAAACAGATCCATGACGCAACTACAACTAGGTCCCCCAGTAGTGCCCTTTTACCCTTTTTTGGGGGAGGGTTCCTCTACGAATCGCAGAAAAGGGCACCCTGATTCCAACCTCTCCACTGAAGGACCTCGAGCCGTTTCCGAGGGGGGGGGGCCTGGTCGAAAGGGTCTGTCTGAGGACAGCCGCTGAGCTCAGCGGTGCTCCGAAGACTTGGGAGGCGACTTTCCGCGGGGTGGGCTTGGAGACGTCCCTTGAGTTCGTTGCCTGATACGCCATCCTTTTTTCACCTGATCACCTATCTCTCGGTGACTTGCCCCTTTTCCAAGGGAAGCCAACCGGAAAAGCGCCTTTTTTTTTGGGGGGGGACACCCATATGGAGGGGGGGGGGTCTGGGCTCGAAGGGGCATGAGAAAGCCTGAAGGTGGGGGAGAAAGCGTTTCGTCCAGGGCGCCTATGGTGGAGCTGGTTCACAGAGCACAGGTGCCGGACACTCAGCGCAATGAGCCACCGAGACTTCGGCTTAGAACATGTTGGAACCTTCGGCGGTGTTCTTTTTGTTTTTGCATTCTAGTTGTGTATTGGACAGATTGTTACCGGAAGCCCATGCGTTCCGCGCCCTTACAAGCAGATTGGACATATTTTAGGCCTTGCGTTTATCAATACATGACCCCCTTCTTTACCAGCACTAGGGGGAGTACTTAGGGCTGTTGTTCCATACTGCTTGTGGATATAGTCACTGCCAATTTTGTTGAAGAGTCACTACCAAATTGTAGGCAGAGCTATCACGAATTTGGGGGGTATAGAGGCACTACCAATGTTGGGCAGAGCCACTACCATTTTTTACGCCAAAATGGTGGCGAAGCTGACGACTTTGGTGGAGGTGGGCGTTTTGTGTGTGTGGTTTTGGGTAATGCGCAAAAGTTCCGGACATTTCGGCATTGCATAGTGTCAGTTGGGCTCGTCGGTTCCAGCTTTACAGGATGCCAGTGCGAGCAGTGCATTTACGTTTTACATCTAAAGTTGTTGAATCATTTTACGTGAGTGTCCCTTGCATCAGGTACCCCCCCAATGGGTTGATTGGTGGTTTGGGGATTTGAACCCCACCTTTGAAACCAATGGGCGCCAAAGGTGCCCCCGGTGCGGTCCAAACCACCGCACCAAGGGGTGAGCGTCACTCACATGCAAATTCTGGCATTGTGCTCGTGGCGTTCCTCCAACCACACGCCCGTCGAGAGTTTGTTTGACCGCCAGGCTCAAACACCGCGCCCTTCTAGTGTTGGAGTCGAACCGAACGCTCTTCTTTGACGCGAAAACTGGCTTGGTACAAGCTGGTATGAAGTGTACATTTGGTATAAAATATGGTCCTGCAAAATTGGTATGAAATTTGGCAAATGTCAACGGCACAGCCACAAGTTATGCCAATTTATACCAACTGTTGCAGCCCGACATATTTGTTTTTGCCGGATATGCCCCCCAACTTGGTATGAAGTCTGAGCCCTTTGCTGCCAGTGGTACTTGTTTTGGCATACACGTACACTTAGACATTTTTGCACGGGGTTTAGACATAAGTTCTGGGCAGAAGCAACGCTCTTTGGGTCAAGTGCAAATTCAAAATGCCGATGCGGCAACAAATGATATCTCGCGTGGGAAAGAGAACAATGCCGGCTGTTTGAGACACTTGACAAACCATGAATCATGAAAGTTATCAGAATCAAGAGCTTCTTAAATTATTGACACCCGACACATCATCCTAGATTGATAGAGTGCCACTACTGTAGGGTGAGTGGGTGCTGCAAATGCATGTCCGGGGCGCCTTTCTGAACTGGCAGATGGACATCTTGGATCTTGGATCCAGGGATCTAAATCCAATTTTGGATTTCCAGATCCGGGATTTAGATTTAGGATTGTAGGGTCTAGTTCCGAGATTTCTCTGAAAGTCTCCTGCACACCTTGGGCTTTGGGTCCATTTCTAAATCTCAGGATTTTGCTCTAGATGTCAAAGCCCTCAGAATTCAGATTTCTAAATAGATGCTTTTTTTGCAACCAGAGCGTTTGTAAAACGATCTAAGCCTTGACAAGTGGTTGACGCGGGCAGGAGTTGCAGTTGTTTTTTGCAGATTTCTGGTGCTACTTTTGATCAACCATTCAGACCATAGGAATGAACTTGGTACATATGTTGGAGTCTGAGCAAAACCACGGATATCTGGGGGTGGGGGTACTAGCATAAGTATACATACACAATATACATACAAACAGATGTGTATATATATATATATAGATTAATGTTCCGTGACAGTCCATTTGCATATTGTTGCCAACTCAGCTTACCCGGCGCAGAATAACGCAGTCTGATGATTTTGTGAGGGACGCAAGGCAAACCACCATTTGGGTGTGGGTCAAGAAAAGGGCAACGCCAAAATGGAAAATGGAAGCAAGGACGAAAATCTGTGGTCCCTGTCCTGGTGGTGTCATTTTGACCCATACCCATTTTTGGGCTAGGTCCGCCAGTAGTGCCCTTTCTCACCCCTTTTTTGGGGAAGGGTTAGTCTACTAAAATAGACTACAGAAAAAAGTTGGTACCCTTATTCTATCCTCTCTAAGGGTTAGTCTACTAAAATAGACTACAGAAGAGCGGGTATTCTAACCTCTCTACTGGAGGACCTAGTGGGGATCCCTATTTTGATGCCCAACAGGTGGTGCACACCATGGAAGTTCTGGCTGGAGACCTCCAGAAGGAGATGGAAGTGGGCGCCAAAGAAGAAGCGGAGGTCTGGATCTGCCGGGCTTCGAGTTTCCGGGAGTCTGTTCCAGGTTGATAGCTGGTGGTGGTCAATCCTTCTACCGGGGAAGTTTGCAAGCCGCGATTTTTGTCGGCGATGTTTGGCTTCATTTCAGGGCAGCGCAATTATGCCCGGCTCGCAGTGCGAGTTGGCCACTGGCGTTTTGAGATGGTTGCTGCAAATGGTTGATTTACAAAAGAATATGGGCAGCAACTGTAGGGAGTGCTTGCAACCGAATTGAACAGCAGTCATCACATGTGCGCGGAAGTTCCAGCGACAGTGTACAAGCGCAGTAGTGCAAGTGGGAGACTTCTTGCTGGGTAGTTTTGCAATCTGTTTGCAGACTCGCAATCGTATGATGTATTGATGGGGCTGTTTTGCCCACACTCACCCGAAGTTTGCAGGCGCCCATGCGTGGCTCTGCCAGATATGGATGTGGGTCAAACATAGGTACCCAAAATGGAACCCTGGTAAATGGAAACATGGACTAAAACTTGCGGTCCCCTAGTGGTTTAATTTTGACCCATATCCATATAAACCCCATCAGCGTCTTTGCATGCTTAGACCATTCGGAGGCTTCGGGCGAGGCACCAGATTGCTCCGCGCACAGGCGGAAGCCTTGTACAAGGACGCGAAAGCAGACCTGGAATCGCAGAAGAGCGGCTTGGAGCGTGCCTCCCAGCCTTTAAGGACGGTTGCTAGGTCCCCCAGTAGTGCCAACTGTTGCCGTTTCTTTTTTGGGGAAGGGTTACTCTACTATCATAGACTACAGAAAAAGAAACGGTACCCTTATTCTAACCTCTCTGGAGGACCTAGGTTAATTTTAAATCGAGAGGCTTGCAGCAACGCCGTGCTTGACCCGAAATTCTTGCGTTGCGCGGGGGGCCCGCCTGCAAGGTCAGCTCTTGACCAGTTGGCGAAGGAGAAGGGCGAAGCCGAGTCTGCCAAGGAGGACTTAAAGGGTCTTGATTTAAACAGAGAGTCTGGATTATGTCTCCTGTTTCAGTTTGCTGGCATGAATCATAGACTGACTGGTCAGGGTTGTGAGTGGTCACTGTTTGACGAGGTTGGGGCGCAAGCTGGGATGGATTTCAATGGATTTCAGCCGTCCAGGAGGAGGCTTGTTCAAAAGTGGGCTAATACAAAATTCCTGATTTCTGGTTGCGGAGGTCAGTGTTTGCCCAGTTGAGTTTGCTTCGTTCTCTGCTGAACTTTGGAATGTACCTGGACGGCTGGTTTTGCATTCCGTTTTCACTTGAGTCTTGTATGTAGCTACTATTCCTCTTTCAGTACCACAAAATTCTGGTCGGCGCCCAAGGCGGAAGTAACATGTAAAACTCGATTTGGGTATTGTCTCCCTCTTTGTTTTTTTGGTCTTCCTCTTTATCTTTCTCTGTCTCTGTCCTTTTTCTTCCTCCTTATCCTTATTTTTCCATTCCTTGCCTCTGTCTTTGCCTTGTTATTAAAATTTAGGTTTCTCCGTCTCTTTCTTGTTTTTATTGTTTATTTTTATTCTGTCTCTCTTTTTCGTTTTCTCTTTCTATGTCTCTGTCTCTGCCTCCTTTTCTCTTTATCTTTCTTTGTCTCTTCTTCTGCTTCTTCTTCTTGTTTGTCTTTTTCCTGATATTTGTCTGTCTCTGTCTTATCTGAAGGAATGCAAGGCCACTCACGAGACTTTTGGCTATGATCAAGTGTAATATCTGCACGATGCATGGCTCAAGGAAAACAGTGGCCCCTAGCTGCTTCGGTCGGTGCTACCGTTTTTCATGGTAGCGGAGCGCCGGCTCCCTGGGAGGTTTAATCAGCCTCCGCAGGTTCGCGTCATCGGTGGACGCCATGACCGCCGAGGTGCAGACAGCCGGGCGGTGGGTCGTGCAGGTGACGCTGGGGATATTCTGCTGGAAGGGCCCCTTGAGGCGCACCGGACTCGGGCCGTGGGTGGCCGTGGTGTTTGCGCCAGTGTATCTGTCTGTTTGAGGGTTGTGGCGGTGCTCATTTGTTTGACGTTCTGCTACGAATTCTGCATGGCGGATGGATCAGGAGGTGGATTCAACATGAAAGATATTGGCAATATCTTGAATCAACTGGTGCAAGAGCAGCGGACGCAGCAGACAAGGTTGGAGGAACTCGGCCGCGGAGTTTTGGGTACACAGACGGTTACAGAGGGCGTGATCGGCAGTGTTGTGGACCAGGTGCAAGGAGCCTTTCAGCAACAGCAACAGCACACGCAGAATCAGGTGACCCAGATTGCAGGAGCAGTGCAACAGCTTCAATCGCAATTGCAGCAGTTTGTGCAGAGCGCGGGCAATCTTACAACATCAGCAGCTGTGTCGGCGCCGGATGGGTCTTTATCCGGAGGTCATCAGGAATGGCGGGCGGTAGCCCGAGGGGTGTGTCAGATGGTGGTGGTATTTCTGGGTCGTTACCACAAGGACCCGGGGCTGGCGCGGCATCAGGATCGGGTGCAACTGGAGCAAGTGGACCGGTGCCACATTGGTTCAACATGGCGGGCAATCAAGCAGGTGGTGGACTGCCAGGGCAAACGGGCACAGGTGTACATCCGGGAGTGGCATACGCAGTGCAGCATGGCGGTGTGGACGCAAAAGGGCTTGGGAAGCCATCGGTTTTTGATCCGAGCAAGACGGATAAGATGACGTTTCAGGATTGGTCGGAGGCATTGATCACCCTGGTCGATGCGCAGATTCCTGGGACTTGGGAGATCCTGGAGTGGGTGTCGCAGAAGCAGCCGAAGAGCAGCTTGGATCAGATCACCATCCTCACGGGTTTCCCACACCTGGACCGCACCTTGGTGGAGTACACAGATTCTAATTTGTACGCAGCGCTTTTTTACGTTCACTGCGGGAGAGGCACGAAGCCTTGTGAGACAGGCGCGCCGTCCGAACGGCTTGGAGGCATTGCGGATGCTGCAGGTGAGGTTCAACCCCCTGACGGTCGGTAGGCAACGAGCCAACTTGACCAAGATCACCAGCCCTCCGGAATCAGTGCCTTTGAATCAGTTGCCCTCAGAGATCATCGCATGGGAGAACCGCATTGTGGAGTACGAGAGCAAGCCGGGAGCAGATTCGGTTTCTGAATCGTTGAAGATGGTCACCATTGTGGCTATGTGTCCGGCTAAGCTGAAGGAGCATTTGCAGTTGAACGCGGCTCGGCACACCCGATATTTCAAGATCAGGGAGGAGATTTTTACCTTTCTGGACCCATGGATGTTGGATCTCTGGGAAAAGGAAAAGGCGGTAAAGGCTGCTATGTTTGCGGAGGAGCTCACTTTGCACGAGACTGCAAGGACAAGGGCGGCAAGGGCGAGAAGGGTGGCCAAGGCAAGGGGAAGAAAGGAAAATCTAAGGACAAGGGCAAGAAAGGCAAAGGCGGAGGATTTCAGCAGGCGGTTTGCCCTATTTGCAAGAAGGGCACACGAAGGAGAACTGCTGGTCCACGCCGAAGAGCCTTAGTGCCATGGACCCCGCGCTTAGCCATCTGCAGTCGCTTTATGCCAAAGCAGCCCTTGATGAGTGTCAGAAGAATCAGGGACAGCCGAGCGCACCGGCATCGCCCACAGCATCCACGGTGGGTCCATCAGCCTCACAGGTGATGATTCCTTGCACGTGAGAAATGTGGGAGGTCTCAACATCAGGGCGCTGGGTGTTTTGACCCGGGCGACTTCATCATCGCGTGGGGCACCGTCGGCAAGTTCAAGGAACTTGGGAGCACGGCCGAAAGCATCTGCGACCAGATCAACAGATCCTTATGATTTACTGGTGAGTTTGGACAGCGGGCATTTGCCGCAAGGGAGCTACAGCGCGGAGAATGCGACAAAGGGAGAGAGCCAGAGCAACGCCCAGGCAGAGTCAATGCTAGGGAAAATCCAAGGTCAGGCACGGACATTGAGGAGTGCTCTGGAGGCGAATTGCGGGTGTGCTTTTACCTCGACATCCGGCTTTCGCTTGGCTCATTGGCTACGCGGCAAGTTGGTGGTCAAGGTTTCAACGCGGAGTCGACGGGAAGACTGGATTCGAGAGGAGCACGGGCACGCGGCGGAGGCAGCCGCTGCCGCAGTTCGGCGAGCGTGTGTGGTATGAGCCTTTGAAGGAATCTGGTACCCGGAAGAAGAAGTTTGACGCCAAGTTCTGTGATGGAGTCTACTTGGGCATCCAGGAGAACTCGCTGTTGAAGTGGATTGGCACCCGGAAGGAGTCGTCAGAGCCTGGAGTATAAAGCTGAGGCCGGAGAGCGAGAAATGGAACGTGGATGAATTCAACGGTTTTGTGGGTCTTCCGTGGCAAGTGAGGCCCAGCAGTTCCAGGGATGGCATGAAAATACTTCCTGGGATTGAAAAGGATTTGGTGGTGGAAATTCAAGACAATGTGAACCAGCCAAAGAAGGACGTGGTCGTGGAGGTGAAGAGAAAAGGGTATGGTCCTTGAGGGATCTACCTGCGGAAGGATGTGGAGTTGGCCATGTATGGCTACACGGATGGTTGTGACGGATGTGTGTCGGCACAACACAGTCTTTCGAGGAAGCAGCGCAGTGCAGCATGCAGAGAGAGGATCGCCAAGGAGATGGAGCAGGCCGGAAAAGGTTGGAGAGAGCCAAGACCAGAGAGACAGCCTATTTCTTGGCACATCATGAGCGAGAGCAACGCGAGGAGGCTTCGGCAAGCAAGAGGTCAGCAGAGGAAGGTGACCAGAAGGAAGCCAAGAAGAGAGTCGTTGAGGTGGAGGTGGACATACCTCTGCCCGATTTAGCAGCCCCCATGAGTACTTCACCCGATCCTTCACCGGCGGTCGGGGTGAAGGTGGGGGAAAGCGTGATGGAGGGCAAAGCAGTGGATCATCCATGGAGTTGAGTTCTCTACGAATGAGAGGAGATCATCGTGCTCAATCAGTGGGATACGAGTTGGGCTTGCTGGAGGCCATGGAGTTGATGAGAGATGAAGAGGAAGAAGAAAGGAGGTTGATGCTTCAGACGGGATCATGGAGTGCCAAGGAGGTATATGGATTGGAGATTGCAGAGGTTTTCTCCCCGCCGAGAATCACAGAGGCTGGGAGGAGAAAGGGGTGCTTGAGTGACATCGCTTTTGACTTGCGCACACAAGACGAGGATGGCAATGCTTGGGACCTTTCCAAGCCGGAGGTGCAGGAAAAGGCTGAGGAGTTGATCGACCTGTTGCAGCCGGAGTTGATCATTGGGTGTCCGCCCTGTGGGCCGTTTAGTGCTCTTCAGTGGTTGAATCACCCGAAGATGACAGAGCAGCAGGTGCAGGACCGCATGAAAGATGCAGTGGCGCATGTCGAATTCTGCGTCAGGCTGTATCGGAAGCAGATCTCGCGGAGGAAGTTCTTTCTTCATGAGCATCCTTCACGAGCAAGCTCATGGAAGTTGGAGTGTATGGAGGAGATCATGCAGGAAGATGGCGTGCGCCTATGGCATGAGCTCTGAGGACCAAGATGGAGGAGGATTGGTCAAGAAGCCCACCGGGTATCTGACCAATAGCAAGGAGATCGCCAAGGAATTATCCAAGAGGTGCAGCAACTCTGTGGCGGAGATAAAGGTGTGGAGGAGGAGAGACTTCGCTGCGAGGCGGTTCAGAGGGCCTGGATCAGGAGGGCCTCATTGGTCGCAGATGACGCTTGATGCGAACACCGGAGAAGTTCTTGATGACCTTCGGTGGCCCAAAGGTGCAATATGAGCAGCAGCCGCTTCCAGGTTTGGGTGCCAACGACATTGAGACGGTGTTCTATTACCAAGATGGTGGTGCGAAACTGCATAGGCATGTGCAATTGATGTGCGGCAGGGCGAAAGCAGCTGAGGTATATCCAAGGGTATTTTGCGAGAAGTGAAGATGAAGTATCCATTGGATTCTTTGAGTTTTGGGCCGGTCAACCAGGAGGTGGATCTTGACATGAGTGCTGAAGACGACTGGATGGCTTATGTCGATGAGATTTCTGGCAAGGCCTTGAATGCAGCGTTGGTACGGGCGGCACGGCAAGAAGAGCTTGAGTGTGCGGATCGCTACGGCATCTGGGACGAAGTGCCGACCCAAGAGTGCTGGGATCAGACCAAAGCAGCGCCCATCTCGACGCGATGGATCGACACGAATAAGGGCGATGAAGTGCGCCCAAATTACAGATCCCGCCTTGTTGTACAAGAACTTCGCACCAGTGCAGTTGAGGCGATGTTTGCAGCCACGCCACCACTTGAGAGCTTCAGATTCTTGATTTCCTTACAGAGGTGCAGCCGGGTCAAGAAGAAGTTGATGTTCATTGACATCAAGCGAGCCCATTGGTGTGCGCAGGTTGCGAGGCTTATTTATGTCAAATTTCCACCGGAGCGCCAGCGTGCAGGATATTGTGCCAGATTGAATCGGGCGATGTACGGGACACGGGATGCAGCAGCATGTTGGGAGGCAGAGTTTACAGATTTCTTCACTTCGTGCGGGTTTGCACCTGGCATCGGAAGCCCGGTATTATTTTGCAATGCAGTCAGGGACGTGCAGGTTTCAATTCATGGTGATGACATTACAGCTTTGGGTGAAGAAGCCCCGCTGTTGTGGCTGAAGGAACGCTTGGAGGAGAGGAACGAGCTGAAGTATGGTGGGCTTATGGGCCCGGATGATGGTGACATCAAGGATGTTGCTATTCTGAATCGGCTGGTGCACTTTCAGGCGGACGCTACAACTTACGAGGCAGACCCTTGGCATGTGGAGATTCTTTTAGCAGAATTGAACCTGGGATTAGCAAAATCTGTAGTATCACCAGGTGTTGCTCGCACTGATGATGGGCCGGGAGAGCCATTGCGTGGGGACAACTTGAAAAGGTATCGCAGTTTGGTGATGCGTTGCAAGTATTTGGCGCAAGACAGGCCGGACATTGCATACAGTTGCAAGGAACTTGCGCGGCAAATGTCGTCTCCTACATCTAGGAGTTGGGAGGCGCTGAAACGGCTTGCGCGGTTCTTGAAAGGTCGGCCGAGGTTGGTTTGGCGTATTGAATGGCAGCCAGCAGCTGGGTTCACAGCGATTACGCGGGCTGTACCGTGAGTCGCAAATCTACGAGTTGTGGAGCTTTGATGTTGGGAGCACACCTCATCAAGTTCTACTCGTCCACGCAGCACGTTATCTCACTGTCAAGTGGCGAAGCTGAGTTTTACGCTGGGATAAAGGCCGGGTCAGTTTTGCTGGGAGCGATCAGCATGGCAGCAGACTTGGGCTGGACGCTTTCAGGGTACCTGACTCTGGGTGCGAGCGCGGCGAAATCAATGCTGTCGCGGACAGTGGCAAGGCCAAGCACATCCAGCCAAAAGTCTCGCGAGCGGCCTTGCATTCCGACAGGCCCTCTTGACCTTGTGCGCCTAAGCACACGGCCACCTCACTTTCAAAGCGAGTCGGTGCTCCGCCTCACTGTGCTCGAGGCTCATGCACCGCATCAAATCCTGGATGCGTTGTCCATCCAGGTGCTTTGTCCCGGCATCTGCCGGATTGACGGCAGTGCCAACCTTCTTCAAGACAATGTCTTTGCTCTGAACTCTCTGCTGGAGCCAGAGGTAGCTCCGGCGCGATGCATGGCTCAAGGAAAGCAGTGGCCCCTAGCTGCTTCGGTCGGTGCTACCGTTTTATCATTGTCTCTCTCGCTCTCTCTCTCTCTCTCTCTCTCTCTCTCTCTCTCTCTCTCTCTCTCTCTCTCTCTCTTTCTCCCTCTCCAGCCCACAAAAGTGAGAATCGCAGAACTCCACGAGTTGTGTTGCGTCCACCCACCGAAATTCGCAGAGGGTGCAACTGTTGATGGTTACGCAAGCTCAAAACGATTAAAAAAAATGAAGTCGACCCCGCCCCCCGCCCCCCGCCAATGTCCGCAGAGGCTTGTGCGAGCGAGTGAGCATCGAACAAACAAGAACCACACACACAAGTTGTTTTCAGGTTGACTCCGGAAGTACACAAGGGGTTGCACGAGCGAATATCTGTTCACCATTCGAACATGGTCCGAGACGGCTCCGCACTTGCTCCGAGATCGAAGTCGCAACCGTGTCGCGACAGAGGTGAAATTCGCGCACAGCCCGGTTGTCGCGTTTTCCAGTATTCTCCCGGCTCTTTCACACGCATTGCATTTGGTCTTTGCTAATCACCTGCAAGTGCATTTAGAATTTCAATTGAAGTTGCGTCAAACCGGTTGTTTAGCATAGGATTGTTCTAGGACAGAGGGTCTGAGGGTTTTTGTATTGCACACTGGGATTACACCGTTGGGAAATGACCCAGAATGGTTCAAAATAACACGGTGTTATCCGGAAATGTGCTTAAATCGGGTCAATACCCAGCGTGTAATACAAGAACCATTAGAGAGGGGCTTGAGAAAAGAAGCGTATCGGCCAGGATGCCGCTGGTGACAAGAAGATGCAATCGGAGACCATCGCGGCACTGGCTCTTGCCTCATCTAAGCCGCCGGTGAGGATAGCTTTGAGCGGGCATGGTACATCAAGGAACGGAATCCTACATGCCATTGAATTTCAAGCTTAGAGCAAGCTGAGGTGCAAAAGATGAAAGACGTTGAGCCAGAATGCGACTATTACGTGGCCAGGACCTCATCCTCAGGAAGCTTACGCAACACTTCAGTGTTTTTTCTTGTTGGGGCTCCTGGCCTGCCATACGGAGACTGGGCTCATGGCCATTGGCTATCGATTTGGAGAGTCCTTGAGGCAGAGCTTGGTGAGGACTGAGGCTTAGTGCCATGCCAGGGCAAAAGCAGAGCTACCCGTTTTGATGCCGCGCCACAGGCCGTGTATCCAATCCCGCACTTCCCCACACCACACCTCCACGTCAATTAAGGGGAGGGTGGAGAAGTGAGACGGGGTGGGGTGGTGACCACGTGAGATCTCGGATATGGTTAGGCCCAAAAAGGGGAAGTCTCAGTGGTCCTTTCTATATTTGTGTGACGATTGTCCTAGTATTACTCAAATCCTTGGCTTAGCCTGCCGGCTTTTGTCGCCCTTGCACAGAAGCCCATTGTTGCCATCCAAGAAGGGCGATAGCAGGTCAAGATGGGTCGACATTGGGACCATGCCTTGTGTAACAAAGTGCCGCAAGATATAAAATCGCTGCAAAAATTGGGATCCCAAATCGGGGTGCCTCAGCTCCTCATTTTCCTGAGGCCAACTTCGAGAAGAGGAGCGCCAACCGCATGACCGAGGTCAAAGGCCTGGCGCAGGCGGGCCGGTGTTCGCTTGAAATGTGGGGCCTGCTTTCAAAAGCACCCAAAGGCCGATCTGGAAAGGAGAATCAAATCATCATGCTTTATTTGCGTAAGCAAGTGACTTTGACCTGAGACTCGTGGAAATGTTCAAGGTAGATACCTTGGATCAGCACCCAGCAGTTCGAATCGGATAGGAAAGCTGTTGCTTTTGGCACGGGGCGCTTGGAATTGTCCAAGAGCAACCGATTGTCTGATGTAGAATTGGTGATTCCTTGTCTGTGCATGTTCTTAGCTAGGCCAAAGCAATCCTGGAGGGCAGCCTTGCATGAGCGCGGCGCGCTTGTGACAGCTGTGAGCAAAAATAAACGACGAGGCTCCGCAAAACACTCCACAAAGACCAACAAAGGGTAGGGTTGTAAGATTACTGCAATTGAAAAACAAAATGAATATATATATATATACTTTAGAGCCTCCGACTCAATCCGCCGACATTGTCCTCTCTCTTTTCTCCTTCTTCCTCTCTCCCTTGTCTCTTTCGTCGGTTTTGTTGTCTTCTTTCTCTCCCTCCGCTCCCCATCTTCCTTCTCCCCCTAAACCTTTTTCTCTTTAATCTCTCTTTTTTGTTTTCCTTATTTTTTTTTCTCTTTAATTAGGGAATTATTTATATATTTTAAATTATTGGTGGATTAAAATGTATGAGGTTGATAGTTGTTGGCAAATCTTCTTTAAAGAATATGGAAGGGCTTGTTTTTGCGAATAAATAAATCTATTGTATAGAAATTCGCAATAAACAAATTTATTCGTTGGGAAGATTTTTATTTATATTAATTGGTTGATTTATATTGTTTTTACGAATTGATATTATATATAATGGATTTTTTTATTTAATCGATTGGGATATTTGGGTGATGAAATTTAGATGGAATATGTAAAGAGGTTATAGGATAATATAAATGGATTAGGTTTTTTGTTATATTAGAAAAACATTATATTTAAAAGATAGAAAGAACCAATTATTGGGTATTGTTTTTTATGAGATTGAATTGGCATTTTATTGGTTTATTTTTTGATTTTTGTTTTATATTATATTTTGTATAATGGTTTGGATATGATTTTTTAATGTTTTTTTAATTCTTTATATAGATGTTTTTGGTTTTTTTTTTTGTATATGTGTTATATATATTTTACGGTTTATATATTTTTTATTTATATTTTTGCTATTTTTTTTTATATATATTGAGTAATATTGGTGGATATATAGAAAATGTTCGGGTTTGGTTTTTTTATATAGAATTATATAAGGGATTTATGGTATATTATTTTATTTTTTTGTTTAAATAATTTAATATTTTGGAATTTTAATTTGAATAGATTTGGAAATGATTTTGAATGATATATATAAAATTATTATTAGGATATAAAAAATAATAATAGATTAAAATAATTATTACATATTATTATTTTTTTAATTTATTATTATAAATTGATATAATAAATATTTGGCCGAACTATAATATATTTTTGACAAACCAATAAATCCGGATTAAATTTCGAGTTTTGTTTATCGATATACATTTGTTTTGTATGTTTTTTTTCTCTGTTTATTTTGTGTATTTTGGTTTGTTGTCCGTTTTTGTTTTTTAATGTATTTTTGTATATTTATAATTGTTTATTTGATAATGTCTATTTATATATAGTTATATTTTTATAAAGATGGTTTATTTGTTATCGTATAGCGTATTTTCCTTATTTCAAATTTTATATTCTTCCTTTCCTTCTATATTTTATTTTGTTTTTTATTATTATTATTGTTGTTTGTTTATTTATTTTTGTATTTATCGATTGTTTTTTTTTCTTTTTCTTGTTTTTTTGTTTTGTTCTTGGTTTTTTTTAAAATATAATTATTTTCGTAACATTAAGAATACCGGTCAATAAATGATTTTAATATATATATATATAAATAATACAAACCAAATATATATAATAATAACCATTGAATTTATAAAAATAAACAAATATATATAAATATAAATTAATATAACATATACAATAATATGCTTAATTTAAAAATATTTATAAAAAGAATATAATAAACAATATTTCAAATCATTTCCCCATTCTTAACCTATTCATAATAGTTAAATCCACTTAAATCTACCAAACATTTTCCAAGCTTAACGATCAGAAGAATTATTTAATCTTTATCTAACAAAATGTACTAGTAAAAAATTCTATATATATTTAAAAAACACATAATATAAAATAATATAATAATACAAAACCATACATAAATATCACAAAACAATATGTTAATAATTCAAAAGAAAACAAATACAATATAATATACAAACAACACTAACCAAACCAAAACACACATAACACATAAACAATACACAAATAACACACAAACAATACACAAACAACACACAAACAATACATAAACAACATACAAACAATATACTTTCACAACCCAAAATAGCATTATAGTTTATTTAATATTATAATTCTATCCAAATCCCCAAATTTCAAACCAATCAACATTAATCTTATACAAACGCCCTCACACAACTATATAAAGAAATATTATCCGCCAACATTAATCGACATGTCGAATATTTACTAAAATCCAAAATTCTATTATCTGAGGATTCCTATATCCTTTACCAATCTAAAGAAATTTATGTATTTATTTAATATTCTAATTAAAGAAAAAAACAAAAAACAAAAACATCGTATGTTTTATATAAAATATTAAGAATCATAAATATATATATATATAAATATATATATATAACATAACAAAATAAGATAACATAACATAAACATACCCACATGCCTATACATACCTATATACCAATATATCTACAAATATATATGTTCATATAATATATTCTATATATGTCTATATTCATTCATTATATACTGGTGGGGTCAAGACAAAGACACAAACAAATACAGAAACAAAGACAAAGACAAACACACAGACACACACACACACACACAGACACACAGACACAAACACACAAACACAGACACACAAACACAGACAAACAGACACAGACAGACAGACACAAACAAACAGACACAGACACAGACACAGAGACACGGAGACACAGAGACACAGAGACACACAGACACAGAGACACAAACAGACACAGACACAGACACAGACACAGACACAGACACAGACACAGACACAGACACAGACACAGACACAGACACAGACACAGACACAGCAACAGACACAGACACAGACACAGACACAGACACAGACACAGACACAGACACAGACACAGACACAGACACAGACACAGACACAGACACAGACACAGACACAGACACAGACACAGACACAGACACAGACAGACAGACAGACAGACAAAGAAACAGATACCAGAGACAGAGAGACCAACAGACAAAGAGAGACAGAGAAAGACACCGGCAGAGAGACAGAGACAAAAAGAGACACACCTCCGGCGCGCAGCACACACAAACAAACAAACAGACAAACAGACAAACAGACAAACAAACAAACAGACAAACAGACAAACAAAAAGACAGAGACAAAGACACAGACAAAGACAAAGACAAAAACAAACACAGAGACAAAGACAGCCACAGACACAACACAGACACACAGACACAGACACAGACACACCTGAACTGGCAATTGTTCATGTTTTTAAAGTTTTTTTTTGCATTTTGCATTTTTCCAGTTTTTCGCGGGCATTTGTTGCTCGATTTATGTCGCTGAGGTTGACTTTAGAGAAGTTAATTGTTTGGGTTTCAAGTTGTTTTTCGGTGGGAAGGGGGGGGCAGGACGGGACAATAATAATGCGCCTGTGTGACCATTGTTGCGAAAGGCTTGGTTCCTGCAGCATCGTTTTTCGCTGGCTGCTCGCCTTCGGAGAGTCGGAACGGAATTATCTTTTTTCATCTCGTTTGTTGTTTGAGGGCTCGGTGGCTTGCCCCGCCCCACCCCCCCCCCTCCTCCCAAGCCCATCAATGATTGACGTTGTTGCGTTTGCTTGCGTGGGTTCGGTGGCTTGCCCCGCCCGGCCCCCTTAAACAAATCCTTTCGCTGGTTTTGGCGGCATGCCCCATCCAGCAATAGGGTGCCCAGCTCCCCCTTCCTCCAAAGTGAAGCCCGCCAACGATTGAAGTTGTTGCATGTGCTTGTGCTTGCGGGTTCGGTGGCTTGCCCCGCCCCCCTACGCCTTCTGCAAGCAAGAGGGAAGGCGTCTCAGGGCAAAAGAGTCTCACAGGAAAGCTGTGAGCTGACGAACGGACATGCGTGATGCGACGCAAGAGCCGCCCAAGTCGTATGTTTCTTGCGGATCATTTTTTCAAGCGGATAGATGTGTTTTTGCAGAGCAGATATGCTTGTTGCGGTGTGCGCTTGCGGGTTCGGTGGCTTGCCCCGCCCGGCGCCCACAATGACTTACGCTGGTTTCGGTGGCATGCCCCATCCAGCAGTAAGGATTCAGAAGGGGCGCTTCTGAAACCGCCCTTTTCCGGAAGCGTTCTCAGAAAGGCTTTCGTGTGTAAGGGCGGCTCGAAAAACAAGACTTTCGTGGGAAGTCTGCCTGCAAGTCTTGTTTGGTTTTTTGAAATTTCGGTTGAACTGCCCGTAGAAGGGAAATAGCGTGAGAAAGTCTACCAATGGCACGGGGGCAAAAAGGCAGCGCAGTGAAGCAGCTTTGCTCCTACAAGCAGAGCCAAGAAGGACGTGAAGAACAAGTGCCACACAGCTCGCCGTGAGGAAGTGGATCTTGAGCAATGTCGGCCCTTAAGAAGCCACTGTCAGACTGTAAAGTTCTGTGGTCAAACGCATTTAGACGCCTGCCTATCAAAAAAGAAAAAAGCTCCACCCGTTGGAAGGGAAGCTCTGGACACGCAGCAACTGGCCAGTCTTTTTCAAACCTTGGTGGAGCTAGGCCGTGGCCCCAAACAAAAAAAGGGTCCTGCGGGCTGCGTGGGGCTTGTCTTTGTTTACAAACTTCAGGTTCGGAAAGACTTGCAGCGTGCCCGTGCCCATGTCTGCCAAATCGCAGTATAGCTGAGCAAAAGCTTCGTGCTCCGACGACAAGAGCTGTCCCGCCAGCTGCTCGTCGGCTGCTGCGTCGGCGTTGAACACCTCAACGCGCCCAAGCCACTGCTGAAACGCAACTGCGTCCAGCTGGGGACAAGCCACCTGAGCTGGCACAGTTGGCTTCAGGCAGTCCTTGAATTCTTCTGCACCAGCAAAAGGGGTGGCCAAATCATGAAGCAAATGCACAACAGCCGTGGCAACTCCGACCGCAGAGAAGTCATGAAGCTTCCGTGCGCCCAGAAGCGTGTGCTGAGGTTGCAAATCCTCTGCGCACGTTTGCCCTCGCAAGACAAGGATCGTCTTTGAGCAGTCCGAGTGCACAGTGACGCAGGAGG